ATTATTGATTGATTGATTTTCCTTTTAGTTAAAAGGTAGAGAGAGAGAGAGGGAGTGAGGGAGGGAGACCTTCATCTCCTAGTTCCTTCTCCCAGTGCCCTCAACAGCCAGGGTGAAGCATGCTGAAGCCAGTAGTCCAGAACTGAATCTGGGGCTCCCATGTGGGTAGCAAGAAACCCAATACTTGAACCATCACCTCCTGCCTCCCAAAGTATGCTTTCGCAGGAAGCTAGGATTGGAAGTAGAGCTGGGAGTTGAATCAGGCACTTCAGTATGGGATGTGGTACACCAAGTAGGGCTTAATTACTGCACTTAATGCCAACCTCTATACCCTTTGATTTTAAATGGCATTTAAAATGTCTTTAAAAGATTGCATTGTGATTTGGCACCAAAACAATTACTATGTACTCAAAAAGGTACAGAAAACAGATGGCAAAAATCATATTTTGTACTAGTGAGTCATATATTCTGTATTGGAGTAATACATGATCTATTTTTCTTGCAAAACAACAGCTAAGTACTCTCTAAGATCTAAGAAAGGAGATATCCACAAGTAGGGGTGGCTGTTACATTTTGTTCCTGAGCTGTGTGCAAGGATTGTCTCAGACATGCCATCTCATACAGTTGATGGTGGAGAAATCACCACATCTCTTGAATTGAGGAAAGACATTTGAAAGCAACAAGGGGTTATGATTGAGTCATGCATCTCATTGAGACTATCATTTATTTTAGTAATATATAAAATAGTGGTACATTTTATAGTCAAGAGATTCTTAGATTTGACAGATTATGGTGTATGAGTTTACATCTATATCTATTAAGTAAAATATTACACATCAAACTATTTTTTTTTTGACAGGCAGAGTGGACAGTGAGAGAGAGACAGAGAGAAAGGTCTTCCTTTGCCGTTGGTTCACCCTCCAATGGCCGCCGCGGCTGGCATGCTGCGGCCGGCGCACCGCGCTGATCCGATGGCAGGAGCCAGGTACTTATCCTGGTCTCCCATGGGGTGCAGGGCCCAAGGACTTGGGCCATCCTCCACTGCACTACCTGGCCACAGCAGAGAGCTGGCCTGGAAGAGGGGCAACGGGGACAGAATCTGGCGCCCCGACCGGGACTAGAACCCAGTGAGCTGGCGCTGCAAGGCGGAGGATTAGCTTAGTGAGCCGTGGCGCCAGCCTACACATCAAACTATTAACAGTGGTAACAGCTGACTTTGGGAATTACAAGTGATTTTTCCTTCTATACTATTAATTTCTGGTTTTCCAAAAGCAAGACATTATTTGTATAATAAAGTGTTGTTACTTAGAAACATTGAGGTCTTAGAACATTTGCCTAAAGAAGTCAAGTATAATGCTCAGAGAACATTGAGGGAGTGCTGCAGCCCAGTTACACCCACTGGGAGCACCAGCAAGGTCAAGTGGAGGGAACCCTCATGCAAGACTACAGGATCTTGATTCCAGGGCTCGTTCCCCCTTATGCTCAGTGGATACACTCCAAGACCCCCAATGAATGCCCAAGACCTTGTCTAGTACTGTCCTATATATACTGTAATAGTTTTTCATTGCTATATCTGAAGTAGGTTACTTAATAAAAAGATTATTTGGTTCATTGTTCTGAAGTACAAGATCTAGGGGCCTCTTCTGGTGATGGCATCTCATGGGCAGGGTCCTGAAACAGTGCAGGACAGCCCATGCCAAGAGATGGGTCTGTGCCTCTCTTGTAGAACTGCCAAAAATCAATCATGAGGGCTCTACCTTAATGACCTTATCTTGTCCTAATCACCTCCCAAAGTGTCCAGCTCTAAACACCATGGTCGGATTAATTTTCTGCCCTCTTAACACCTTACAGTGGGGTTTAAATTCAGCACACAGAGCCTTGGGGAGATGTTCAAACCATAGCACATATAAGTACCATGACTTTTCTAATACATACAAACTTATACTGAAGTTTAATTTATAAATCAGGCACAGGAGATGGACAATATCCAGTAAAATACAGCAGTTAAAACCGTATGCTGTGATAAAAGCTTATGTGTGCGTCACAGTATTCCAGACACTGTACCATGGCAGTTGACCCAATAACCAAGATGGCTACTAAGTGACTATTAGGACAATTTACACAGCGTGCATACCTTGACAAAGGGATGAATCATGCCCTGGTAGGATAGGGCAGGAACCTTGATATTTCATCATGTTACTCAGAATGGTGTACAATTTAAAACTATTGAATTATTTCTAGAATTTTCCATGTAATAATTTCAGGTCTTGGTTAACCGTGAATAGCTGAAACCATGAGAGTGAGACTGAGGATAAGGGGAGATGACTGGACCTGTGTTTTTAAAATTTATAACTATTCTGAGCTTCAGTTCTCCCAAATATAAGATGGGGGTAGTGGTGGTAGTGGTCTGATACTCCTTAAAGGGCTGTTATGAAACCTGAGTTAAGGGTTTTTGAAGTTCTATGCAACATCAATTTACTTGACTGTAAAATTCTCTCTCTGCTAGAGGGAGGAAGCAGGGATTCTAAAGTTCATAGCCTTGAAAAAATCTGGGTTACATATCCACAGTCCACTCACAATTTTATTTTTCTGTACTTATTTGTTATCTTTTACTTATTTGGAAGAGAGCAAGAGAAAGAGCTAGAGAGCTAGAGAGAGATCTTCCACCTGCTGGTTCACTCCCCAAGTGCCTGCAGCAGCTGGGGATAGGCCACGCCAAAACCAGAAGCCAAGAACTTCATCTGGGTCTCCCATGTGAGTGGCAGGGACTCAGTACTTGAGACATTCGGTGCCTCCCAGGTGCATTAGCAGGAAGCTGCCAGGCCTCGCTCCCAGGAACTCTGATATGGGGTGCCGGCGTCCTAGGTAGTTTAATCTGCTGTGCCACAATGCCCGCCCCTCACAGTCTCTTAATGTCCACAGTGAATCTCCAGGAAGGGCTACACTGTGCAGAAGCATGTCTTGGAGGTAGCTGGGTGCTTTGCATAATGTAGAGCCATATAACGCTCAGGTACTAGCCTCAGAGGCTCCCATCAATGCCCGTAGTCTTCCTTGTCCCTCAGCTTCCAAAATGCTCTTCTCTAGGTTCTACACTCACTTGAAATTCTATTTTATACTTAAAAGGAAGAAAATCAAACAAAACCAAACCCCAAACAACTCCCTTGGTCTGCCAGGAGTTAATCCTTTGCCCTGCTCCTCAGGATGGCAATTCGTCTCCTGCCACCCTGTATTCTGATTTAACATCACTTTCTGTACAGCCCAACTGTTTGCTTCATGTGGCAGTGCCATCTTGAGACTTGGGTTCATATTTGTGTCCCTAGTGTTGTGCATATAGCAAGAGCTCAACAAATACATATTTTCTCAGCATAGCATTTTCAGTGGAGAAAGTTGTTGGCTACAAAACTGTCTTCTTCCTGTGAGAAAGGCACAAACGTCTGTTCTTGATTTAATCACGCTGAGATGGCAAGGCAGTAATTTTGGGAGATATGAGGTGCTCTTGCACAAAAGGTGAACCATAAAAAATTAAACAAAAACTAAAAAAATCTAACTTCTTCAGCATTTCTTCCAGTTAGAACTATCTCCCCAGTTAGGTTTTACCATTTGCAGACATGCTTGGGAGAGTTTTGCTCTGTTATGGCTCTAAGGACAGAAAGCCAGCAATGGACACATTCTGAAGGGTCAATGACCTCCTGCCGTGGGCTTTAGTAAAAAGAACCCTGGCCAGGGAACTGAAAGACGAGAGTTCTGTCTCACTGCTGCCATTCACTCCCCATGAAACCTTTGTTGGAAGACTGTGGCCATTGCTATTGGGGTGGTTATAGCAAGCCTTAGTGGGTTCTACTGTTGAAGAGGTGAAGTGGAACAACCTTGAAGAGGAAGGACTGCTGTGGATTACCACCTCGAGTGTTGAGCAATCTGCCATCTTTTGTGAGCCACGGGGCCCTCAGTCACAGGTTGTTTTGCTACTCTGCGTAAGTCTTGCTTGATCATCCCAGCCGTACGTCAGCTCTGTGATGGGAAAAGCTCACAGACTATGGTTCAGACTGTTCCTGGAGAAGTGGTGAGGTGGCGCTGGTGGCAATTAACCTGAGATCGGGGAATGTCAAATTTGGAAAAGATATACAAGTGGTTCTCAGGGGGCCTTTTGGGGGAAAATACTGGTTTTGGAGCTGGACATTTTCCCTCGAGTTGGAGACTGTCCTGGGTATTGTAGGATGCTTCACACCCGTAACTTCCTTCTACTAGATGCCTAGTCGCATCTGATCATGGTGCTGATCAAGAACTGCTCCATGTCTCTACCGCCCCCTACGGATGGCATCCTCTCTACTTGGCTTCCCAAATCACTGGAAACTACCAAGTGGTCTACTTGACATCCCCACCAGAAAATTTTTTACAGCTCCACTGTTTAAATCCCATTCTTACTAAGACTTAGGCAGCATTTCCTAACAGTCTGATGGTCCTTACAAGGCCATGGCCAGAGCAGGCCTTGCTCAACTTCATTGCGTCACTGGTCTTACCCTGAAAATGCATTTCCAGATATGCGCTTCTGGTGAACCAACCTCCAACAAACCTATGGGAAGATCACTATCAAGGAGTCAGGAGCCTTGGAATCGTTCCTGGCTTCTAGCCTTGGCTGACTTTTAAGACAAATCACATATAAATAATAAGACAAATATAAATAATTAAAACTAAGAAACTCTCATGTTCCTGGTCTCTAAGATCCCTTCTGGATCTAAAATCCAATTCTACCAAGAGAGAGGCCATTGCTGACTCATATTGGAATGTGAAAATGAAACAATATATTTAATATCAGTTACTTAGAAGAAATGGTTGCATGGGAAGAAATTTTAAAATACAGAAAAAAAAATTCTTACAACTTAAGTTTTGGGAAACATTTTATAATTTTATATATAAAAATCTCATTAAGAAACCATGTAAAATGACAGAAATAGCCACCTTACATTAAGAGTCAAAAAAAAAAAAAAAACCCCACACACACATTGAATGTAAATTTTAATTATAAAACAAGATTATGAACAAAACATTTTAAAGTAATCTCAATTATTTGGCAACTTATCACATCATTGCAAGAGACAAATTCGACTGTAAGAAAAGTTGAATTTTATGAAAAACTTAAGTTGGACAGTTTGCTCATATGGGAGTTAAAATATGTTTAAAAAAGAACTTGGCAATAAAGCCAGTTTCTATCCTGAAATAATTGTGTATAAAACAACATAAAATCCTGAAGCTGGATAGACAGGAGCGACCGAATCTTCAATGCATTTCTCTTCACTGAAACAGGCAGTATGGAAATATGGAGAAAGGCGTAGTAATAGCACAGAGGAGAGGAAGGGATGCCAGTACAGGATTCTGTTGCAGGTGACATGGTGTCATGTTGCCTGAATCAGAGCCCCTATGTCAATGGGACTGGTGGTGAAGTCACAGATGCAAGTATAATCTAAAAACAAGTTACATTCTTAAAAAACAGAGTCACAACTGTGAACGCAAAAGCAACAGAGACCCTTTCTTAAGCTAACCTACTTTACTTGAATACATGCGAGAGTTTCTATATTTCCTGCCAGGTCATATTTAGATAGTTACAGGGCAGGCAGAATCCTAAAAAATTTTCAACTAATGACTGCATAGCATTTAAAACCCCTCTTTATTAAAAAAAATAATAAAATAAAATAAACAGATATATAGTAAAGTTCACAGATAAGTTTTCTCTGTAAAATAAATAAAGTGTTCATTGATTAGCATCATACATAGAGTAAAATACAACCTATTTTTACATGTTTATATACTATACACAGATTACCAGTAGGCAGCCTGGTGTCCCATGGGCTGGAAGGGTTTGCATTAGTGATGCGTCACATTGGGAAATCCCAATTTCAAATGTTAAAATATACAACTACTTTGTTTTGAGTTCAGATACAAAGTAAACTTATTTTCCTTTATCTGAAATAAATGTACATAATCTTCTATGAACAGTAGTTTATAAAGCTGTTTAAAACATAACAAGAAAAAGCTCGCACCTAGGAACTTACAGCACATGCATATACTTTTTCAGGTTGACAAAATAAAAGCCTATGGCCACTGAGGCTCATCTCTTTTCTCTCGATTCTGTTTCCTGACAAACCAGGGGCACTGGTGGCCGGGATTATCGCTTTGCCTTTTTCACAGGGGCTTCCTCCACTCTCTGCTGGCCTCTTGTTCGGGCCCCAGGAGGGCTGACTTCTCTCTTGCGTTTCGTAGAAGGAGAGAGCTGTGTCTTTGATCTGCATTAACGAAAATCAAGACAATGGTAAGAGTTAAAAGCAGCTGTTTCAAATAATTTGGGAGTTCCTTAAACCATGGACGAGTTTTGAACCCAACAGCCTAGAGAAAACCCCAGAAACATTTATACAGGAAAAGGAGCTCGAGCCGCCAACTGGTTATCTTCTGACAATCTCATAAATGAACACAGAGTTCAGGAGGAGGAGTTTGGAAGCTTGTGCTCCGGTTTCAGCTCTTCCACCTCTAAGTGTGTACCTTGGTCAAGTCAACTTCCTTTTTGGGTTTCTAACTCGTCTATCTATAAAATTAAATCAACTGCTAATCCTACCAAAACTGTCCAAAGTTGACTGCTAGTCCTACCACACTGTCCAAAGTTAAAACACCAAGAACACAGAATTGAAACCTAGTGCAAAATAATGTTTTGTGGTGCAATATTATAGAAAATAACTGGCAATGTTGGAAAAGGCATCAGAATTTTAGGAGAACATTCTAACCAAACTTCCTGTCACCAGCCTATCCCTGTTTTCAAACTCCGACCGATCATGCTATTGTTCTAGAGACAGAAGTACCTCCCAGCTGGTGCTTTGGGATAAAGCCACCTGGAGCATGGTACGCAGAGTTCTTTATAATGGGCCCTCTGCTTTTGCACCATTCTTGATTATAGGCCTGCCAAAGTATTTTCTTTTCTTTCTTTCTTTCTTTTATATTTATTTATTTATTTGCAAGGCAGAGACAGCAAAAGAGATCTTCCATTCACTGGTTCACTCCCCAAATGGCTGCAATGGCCGGAGCTGGACTGATGTGAAGCCAGGAGCCAGGAGCCTCTTCCAGGTCTCCCATGTGGGTGTAGGAGCTCAAGGACTCAGCCATCCTCTACTGCTTTCCCAGGCACATTAGCAGGGAGCTGGATGGGAAGTGGAGCAGCCAGGACTTGAACCGGCACCCATATGGGATGCCGGCACTGCAAGTGGCAGCTTTCTCCACTATGCCACAGTGCTGGCCCCCAAAGTAATTTCATTCTCAAACATATGATGTCTTTTTACTTGTTTGTGCTTTAAAATGTGATTTTTTTTGTGCTTTGACATCACCAGGCATCTGATCAACTTCCTTAATAAACTCTCCTCAGAAACTGCATTGCACTTTCAATTTTCATCATGTACTTTACCCATGTGTCTTTTCAAACTCCAGGTTACTGTCTTTTATTTCAATTAACTTATTTTAAAATATTTATTTATTTATTTGAAAGCCAGAGTTACAGAGAGAGGGAAGGACAGAGAGAGAGAGAGAGAGAGAGAGAGAGAGAGATTGTCCATCTACTGCTTCACTTTCTGAATGGCTGCAATGGCTAGGGCTGGGCCAGGCTGAAGCCAGAAGCCTGGAACATCATCCTGGTCTCCCAAATGGGTGGCATGGACCCAAGCACTTGGGCCATCTTCTGCTGCCTTCCCAGGTGCATTAGCAGGGAGGTATATCAGAAGTGGAGCAGCTAGGACTTGAACTGGCACTCATGTGGGATGCTGGCATTGTAGGCAGTAGCTTAACCTACCGCACCAACACAGGCCCCTACAGTTAGTATTTTAAAACAACATATTAATAGAACACAAGGGTTCACCATGCTAATGTACACCCTGGGTGGAAGCAGCAGTAATAGCTCAAGTAAACTGGTTCCTGCCATCCATGTGTGAGACCTGGGCCCCCTCTCACAACCCCTACAATCCTCCCTCAGCCCCACGCCCCTCTGGCTAGCTCCTGGCTTTAGCCTTGGCCCAGCCTAGTTCAAAGCTATCACAGGCATTTTGGGAGGAACCTAAATATGGGAGCTAGTTTGCTCTCTCTCTTTCTTTATTCCCAAAATAAACAACAATTTTAAAAAAAGAGAAAAAGAAAATACCACTTAGCAACATTTTAAATTTGACTCGTGACAATTTTGTTTCAGTTACAATAACAAGAATGTGACAAGTTATATCATAAGATATATTCTTATTGTGGGTTACTGTTAAAAAATTTGAAGGTCTGATACACACATTTCTTCCTCACTAGACAAGAGTTTCTTCAGGGCAGTTGCTTAGATTTACTTATTTTTTCAACTCCAGTGCTCAGAGCAATGCCTAACACATGGTAAGCAAGCAGTTAATGTTATATCAATTGAATGAAGACCTGGAAAATGAGAACTGTAGGAGAAAGAGAAATGGTACTTTAATGACATGAAGACATCTTTTGCCTATTGTTTCTTTGATAAAAAAAAAAAAGTAAGTAAACTCAGATGTGTTGAATACTGTTGCAGATAATGTGGTTTTGGCACACTGTTATCCATGTTTGTGTTGAGAATGGCCAAAAAGCAGTGTTAGTTAATAACCTGTTTCAGGGGATACCTACACTGTGGGGCTGTGTGCATCAGAAGCCATATGGCAGAGCACAGCAGCTCTGAGTTGGCCTGCTTCTTCCTGTGGAGGAAGCGTGGTAGATCCCAGCCCTTTCTTTCCTCCTGGACGTCTGTTAGATAAGCAGACTCTCAGACACACCCCAGACCTACAGATTCAAAATCTGCATTTTCCTAAGAGCCTTAGATGACTCTTCTGCATGTTCAGTTTTGAGCGGTCTGCATCCAGACCTTCCTGAAATCCTTCCTCTCACCCATAAACAACACATACTACATTTCACCTAATAAAGATTAAATCAGAGAGTCTACAGTGCCTAGTACTTTGGCTTGCTTTCCTTTCTCTGACACGGAGATGACAGTGTATTTCAAGTATGCTGTGAAGATCAGAGTGGGGTAAGAGATTTCAGAACAGTTGCTGTATACAGTGAAGAGTCTTTTATTTTTGAATGCTATTGTGTATAGAGAGAAAGACCAGTTTCTGATCTTAAGGGAGAATCTTCTAGCTCACAGAGGAAAACAGAACCAATATACCTAAACCAACAGCATATGCCATTCTCAGCTGCTCAGAACTGACCAGAAGTGCAATAGGAAGGAGAGATGAGAATGGGCAGAAGCAGGTGGGGCAGCATCCTAAAGAAGGTGGATACTAAGAGGGTAGGTCCATGGGGACGGCATGACCCACTAGCACAGCAAAGGCAAGGTAGGACTCAGCACACCCAGGGAGCAGTGGAAGGTGCAAGCTGGCAGAGGTGGTGTCTGACTCAGGGTGCTTTCCTTTACCTGATTCTCTCTCCAATGCTGTGGCTACACCAAAAAGATTCTTGGTATTATACGCTTTACCATGTTGCCCTGACCTGACCGAGCATTCAGACCTGTGACTGCTCAGGAAGAAACAGGCCTTCCTTTAGTCCTGGTGGACAAGAGTTGGCAGATGAGGCTTGCAGATGTTCAAGGACAAGCCTGTGTCACTGGGCCATGTGGGAAGGCCACTGAGTCACCTTTTGCAATCCTTCTTATTCCTCTTGGAAAACAGTGATCCCCAAAGACAGTTACTTGGTGACAGAAAAATCTTAAAGGAAATGAGGAAGAAAGCATTACCGTACCAAAGAGTCTCAGGGGGTTAAACATGACTTGAGGTGTAAATAGGGACTTACCTTCCTAATGGGGGAGATTTACTAACTTTTTCGCTGGTAGATAACTTCTCTTTTGCTAATTTTTGGCGATTTCTAGGAGAAACTGTTTCTGGGTTGCCAAGTTTGGATCCTGCACGTGGCGATGGCTCACTATGATGCTTTCTGAAACAGATTATAGAGACACTGGGCAATGGTAGCACTGAAGACTCCAGTCCCTGAGGTTCCTCCAGGGCAAGTCAGAGCATGGGGACTAAGCAGGAAACTGACCTTAGCTAATAAACAGATATTTATGTCATCCACAACTAACTTTGCTCATATAATTTTACCTGTTTTTACTGTGCATATTTTATAATGACTGAGAAAAAGAGGAAATATATTACCTAATGAAACAAAGATCCCAAAAGAGCTCATCTGAGTCGAATAAAGGGCTGAGATCAACGAAAATATAATTCAAAAAGCTGAATGTTAAGATCCTAGTAGTTACAAGAAAACAGATAAGAGAAGTAAAAATTCTAAGAAAAAAGACTTGTTCAGCTAGGGTTTGGTTCAATCAGAGGCCACATAGTGATTCGAATGCATATTAGAGAAGAGTATCCAGAAAATAAAGTGAGACAGTCCTCTTCTGAATTCATCAGACCACACCTGATGTGGAACTCTGCTTCTGAAGGAGGATAAACTGAGGAGAACAAACAAGGGTGATGAGGGGCCTCAGAAGAAGAAAGGAAGCCCTGGAAGCTGCCCTCTAATATTTAAAGGAAAATTATATAGAAGGCCCCAGGAGTAGAACTAGAAGCAAGAGAGGAAGCTAGAGGGGGACTAGCTGTTTCCAAACAAAGGAGACTGCAAGGAGGTGGCTCTCCCTGCTCCTAAGGTACATGCAAGAGCATATATAGTGGTTCAGGTGCTGATGGGCCTATAGTACTAGATGACCACCACCACTGAGTATTCATCCAACTCTGAGAATGTGCCATTATGAAGATACCAGTACACTGGATCCATTCAACTAATGTCAAGGAATCTAAGCAAAAGAGTAAAGGATTCATTTCTAAATCCAAAGTTCCTAAAGTACATTAAGAAAGAGCATTGATAATCCAGGTGACTAGAACTATGTGAGTCAAACAGGACTTATTTTTAAAGAATTTTAAAAGGCAAATCTGGTGTCTATTTATTTATTTGAAAAGGAGAGACAGACAGACAGAATATATGTTTGCTGTTTGCTTTATTTTCCAAACGGCTGCAACAGCTGGGATGGGGTCAAGTCAAAGCCAGGAGCTAGGAACTCCATCTGGGTCTCCCATTTTGGTGGCAGGAATTCATGTACTTGAGCCATAACCTGCTGCTTCCCAGGCACATTAACAGGGAGCTGGATTGGAAGTAGAATAGCTGGAATTCCAACAGCACTCTGATATGGAATATTGGGTATCCCAAATGGTGGCCTAAAGAATCACACCACAATGCCTGACCTGTGACAACTATTTTTTTGATACTGGAAGACAGCTAGAGGAATCCACGCTGAGTCCTACTATAATGGGTGATCTTTCCAAGACTGTGCTAAGAAGGAGGTTATGGTACTAGTGGGACTTGCTGACCCTGGGTGAGAGGTGTTGACCTCTGGAACCCTATCCTCTCCAGTCAGCAGGAATCCTCATTCTGTGACTTTTCCTTATCTGAGTTGCACCAACAAAAATACATGAGACTACTTTACCTTTAGCTATGTGAGCTCCTTGAGTCTTTTGGCTCTAAAATCTGATTCTTTGAGAAATCAAACCATGGCACAAACAGCTAACAATGTGTAAATTTGGAGGAATTAGAAACAGGATGATTTTAAGTCTTTTTTTTTTTTTTTTGTAAAAGCAAGACAGCATTACTGTTACCTTATTATGGTGACAGGTGTTAGTAACTGCTGTCCTTGAAATAAATGTTCCAGAACTTTTTGACTAATTTCTGATAATGAAATAGATGCCACCAAGATTAATAGTTTGTGAATCACCATAAAAATTTCTTGTTTTGGAAAACATTATTAGCCATTAGAATGAGACTACACAGTCAAGTCAAAATTAGAGCGCTGGTTGATGGGAGCAGGTGTAACGATGACATGGGCTTGTGGCAGAGGACGAGGGGAGTATCATAGGCAAATAATGCTTGTTCACAAAGTTAAACAGGTTTGTTTCTGTTAGAACTTTTCAAGGCATTCTCAAACTCATTTGACCATGGCACTCTTTTTACTTCCCAGAGGCTTCTGGCTATCCTAGGGTTTGAGAGAACACATTTGGGAAACATGAAATTATTTACGTAAGTCAAAAGTGATGAAGGCAGGCAATTTCTGAATTATCAACCTGTTATATGGCACTGGTGAAAAGGTGTGATGACAATGATGTATGTGCCTGACTCCCACTTACAAGTGATAAGCAAGCTGCATGTAAGGACTGGACTTTATATTTCACTACTGTCCCTCATGGTGCTCAGCATAATGTCTGAGATACAGCAGACACACAAAATATTTGTGGTAGTAGGCATTTAGCCTAGCAGTTAAGGCACCTGTGTCCCATACTGGAGTTCTTGGGTTTGATTCTTGGTTCCAGCTCTTGACTCCAGTTACTGAATCCTTTATACTCACCTGGGAGACCTGGATTGTGTTTCCAGCTCCTGGCTCTGGCCTCAGCCCAGCCCAGCTCTGACCATTGCAGGCCTTTGGGGAAGTGAACCAGTGGATGGGAGCTTGCTAGCTCTCTAATACATTTTTTAAAAGTTTTGTAAAAAAAAATTGAATGGATTCCACTAAACATGCACTTAAAGCCTGGCAAAGACTTTGAAGTGATCCCCAAAATGGTTTGGGGCAAAGAAAATGGATTCTCCAGGAAGAACCAAAAGGGCAGAGGGCCAATAGCAAGCACCCTCTGCTGAAGATAAAATGAAACAGCTTCCACTGTGGCATGAGTGACTCAGAAAATCCCATGAAACCTGATGCTGTTCTCTGACAGAGAAGCCAGTGAGGGTCCTGGGCAGTGCTCTGTGCCCCGGTTACCTCTGAGCCTCAGATCTGGTGGTGGATCTCGTGGTGGCTCCCGAGGGCTCTTCCTCTTCTTCTTCTTCCTCTTCCTCATCAGAGTCCTGGTCCTTTTTGTCCTCGGTTCCTTCAGAAGCTGATTTCTGGCGTTTTCTTTCTGGCTCTGAGGATTCTGTTCAAACAGAAAGGTTACACCTGGACTGTACAAGCCCAAAAGATGCTTCCAAAAGAGAGAGTCACAAAGTTTAGAATTTGGGATATTAGGGACTTGGAGGCAGAAGAAGTGGTTTTCCACTTCCTTTTTGCTTCAGCACTTGCAATTCACAACTGTTTAACTTAATCTCAAACACATTTGGGATAGTTTACTTATGTAGTTCACAGCCAGCATTCATGAAAAATTCACATGTACTCAGAAAAGCATCTGGGATGTACCATTTCTGACATGGGATTAGAGCTATTTCACACATATTTATGTAATATTAATACTAGCTGCAACCCACTGGATTTTTCCTCATCCAAAGAAAAACTCTTACAAAGGTGAAATAATAATACTGTAATTAAGAATATGCTAGAAGAATACCAGCATCATCCGACAGAGTGAGTGAACGTTTGGGCTTTCTTCCTCTCCGACGAACACTTGCTACTGTTTTCTCTTCCCCATCATCCTAAAAGAAATAAAAATGAAGTTAAAATGGTGGTCCGTGTAGCAGTTATTAAGTTCATTTCTGAAGAATTTATCTTGATAAGGAAATTAACTTACAATGCTTATACTTCTTTCCTGCAGGTTAGCTGTTTCTTTATTGGACTCATCTTTAAGAAAAGAGAAGCCTGAATTAATACTTTATTACTACAAAAATCAAATTTTAACAGTGACTCTGGCTTCTTATCTGTCAAAGTACCAGTCCTAAGTAATGCACTGTTATATAATTTATCATTATTTTATATCAGTCAAGCAAAGAGAATCAAACACCTAATAGAGAACACACCAGAATGGAGAGCAAGTAACTGAGGTTTTTGTTTCATTTTTGCAACAATTAAGCTATGTGATTGGGGCAAAGTGTTTGAAGTGTGTGAGACGCACTGTTTACCAACAAGACAAGGGGTTGGGTTCGACCACCTGTATGGTCTATTCACTCAGATGTTCTGAACCAAAGAGAAGAGTAAGAAAAGGGCATGTGGGGAGCCCCTGTGACACAGCAGGGAACCGCAGGTCAAGATGATACTTCTTTTGAATCTCAACATAGTTCTTTAGTATTACAATCTCAGTTTATATTTGGAAAAATCAGGCTGAGCACTCATTTATGGAATTTTTTCAGAATCACATAGCTAACACGTGAAGTGACAGTTGGCATTCTTTTGACTCCAAATACTTACATCATTATTAACTAAAAAATAAATATTACAAACCTGTGTAAATTTGTTATTACATGCTTGCTTTCTGTAGATGTTGTAATTTGCAGAGAATGTGTCTTGGTAAGAGAAGGGAAGGCTAGTGAAATGTACTATTTGAAGCTAAAATTATGCTTGTTATTCACTCAAAAACTCAAAAGTAGTTCTTACTAGTGATGAATAGTGTAGTAGCTGTCCTTTTCTGTGTGTTCAAATAGTAATGGAGATGGAAAGGACAAGGAAGTCTGTCTTAATCTGGGCAACGTTACCCAGTGTAGAAAAACACTGTCAAACAACCCCAAAACAATCATACAGCTTAAGGTGGAGTTGCCAAAGTGTATTTAAGTTAGAAGATTTCTTGTTGCCTGGATTTAAAACATTATAAAATTATACATAAAACTGGCTAAAAATAAAACACAAGCAGTATCTCTCCCCTTTCTAAAAATAAGCCTTAATTTACCAAGAGAAAAAAAAATTGAAGTATGATAATGAGATCACAGATAAATGTGGGGAAAAATTTTATACTACATATTTGCTTTATCTTGTTGATTATAATATTTATTTTCCAAACATGATCATGCTACTTCACAGAAAATAGTTGTTACACTCATCTTTTCTTTTTATATGTTATTATTGTTGTTTATTTTTCCTTTTAAAAAAGTGTTTATTTCTATGTACTTGAAAGGCAGAGCAACAGAAGAGAGAGAAATACATATCTTCCATCTGCTGGTTTACTCTCCAAATGGCCACACCAGCCACGACTGGGCCAGGCCAAAGACAGGAGACAGGAACTATATCCAGGTCTCTGGGGTGGGCAGCAGGGACCTAAGCACATGAGCCATCATCTGCTTCCTCCTATGATGTATTAGCAGGAAGCTAGACTGTTAAGTGGAGGGAGGAACCAGGACTCAAACTAGCACTCTGATATGGGATGCAGCCGTCCCAAGCAGCAGTTTAACCTGCTGTGGAACAACACTTTCCCTGACTTTTTTATATTTATTATTTATTTATCTGAGAGGCAGAAAGAAAGAGGGTGAGAAAGAGAGGGAGAGAGAGAACAAGTGCATGAGCTTTCCTCTCATCTGCTGGTTTCATCCAAACACCTGCAATAGCCCTGGGCAGGACTGAAGCTGGGAGCCAGATCTCAATCCAGGTCTCCCACAGGGGGTGACAGAAACCCAATCACCTGGAGCATCATTGCTGCCTTGAGATCTACATCAGCAAGGAAGCTGGATGAAGGGGTTGGAACTGGGAATTGAATCCAAGGCACTCTGTGTGGGCATCTTAATGCCTAGGCCAAATCCTTGCCCAAGACATTCATCTCTTCTGTTTAGGTAAACCTATTAAAAGCCCACCAATGGCTATTCTTGCTTTCACGTAAAAAATTCCAAATCGTGAAGTTTAAACACATTTTAAAAACTTGGGACAATGTATGTAATAGTAACAAATAATATGGAATGCGTCCATCATTCTACCACCCACAACTGATCATTATCAACACTTTGGAGTACTTTTTCCTCCTTGGAATGATAACAAAAAACAATCCAAAACAATTTCACCTCCTGAGTCCTGGGCTGTGTAAACTGTGCAGGCTGCTTTCAAAGTTACTGTTCCTCTGAGAACAGCAGGCTTTTGAGCTAAATTTGTACCTTCTTGATAACAGTGTCTAATCTTTAGGCTGGTCTGTTTCTTCCCTAAACACATCCAGCACATTATGGTTTGGATCCTGCGGTGCAAGTTATTTCCTTGCACACCTTCATATTTTGCGTCTCAGACTTCAGCCAAGAATGACTCAGGTCACAGAAGGAGCGAAGTGGTATCAGGTCTCCTTTGGCTGTAAGGACAGCTGTTTTTACCGAGGCGGCCATCCGTTTTAATGAGAAAATTAAAGTCTAAAATCCTTCTCCCAAGCCAGTTTCCTATGTCTTCCTTAAATCACACTTAGAGGAATGCTGTGGATCTCAATGCCCAGGACTCAATGCATACCTGTTGGCATTACTTTCAGTTTGCTGCTAGGTGGAGATTGTTCTACCTAAGTTTAAACAAACAAAAAATGGAAGTCAGCAGTTCATCACCATCATGTAGAAAGGCAGTCAGTAACATAAGAAGGTTGAGACCGCTATTTATGATGTAAGCAGAATGTCTGGGACCTGCTTCCTTCAGTCACTTATGTAAGCCGAGTGAGTGTGAATGCTGATGTCTCTGAACACAGGCTCTTCCCAGCAAGCCTCTTCCCACCCTGCTGTGATGCTGGAGGCAGAGCACTGCAGGCAACGCAGCGTGGCCACTGCTGTTAACATTCCCCACTGTGGCTGACCATTTTACAGGCCAGTACATGCATTCATATGTGGTTCTCTGGTATTGTTGTCTTATAATAAATCTATGAGCAAGTACTGTATCTGTGTCATGCCACTTTAGATCCAAGGAAACTGAGTCTCCAGAGGCTGAAGAGGTACACCCCAAGTGATACATCCGGGAGTAGGTGGCAAAGCTGTCTTGAATCCCACATGGTTTTGTCAGGTCAGTGGACATGTCTGTCCTCATTACAATGCTGTTACTGAAATGTGTGCCACAAAATCCTGACACCATGATCTCACTGGGCAGATACTTAAGAATCAAAGCAAAAGAATGCTCAAAAAGAAAAAAAAAAGTATCACTGAGGCATTTCTTGCACTAAAATAAGGGTATATTTTAGTATAAAAGGAACTTTACATAAGGCAGTAAAACATCTCAGAGGTCTTCACAAACAAGCTACCATCCTAAAATCACGTAAGCCACAGAAAGTTTCTATATTTTAACCCAGCATCACCATAAGAAGGTGGGCCCCCAGACAATTTTTTATATAATCAATCTCATAAGTAAGGATGGAATGAGACTAAAGAACTAATATAATTCTGTTTACTACTAATAAAACATTTTAATAGTTACTCAGTGTTTTATTTAATCAAGTCTCTTCTAATGCTTAAGTGGTTCAAAATACCATATATTACAGTATCCCCTTTCCAGGTCAAGAGCAAATATTTGAAGGCTGTTCATTTTTTACAATTACTTACAGTAACTATGCCAGCATCTGTTTTGGTGTCATCTAAAAAAAAAAAAAAAAAAGAAAAATCTCTCTTAGAAAATCAGTAGGAAAATTTCTTGTGTGTAAACTGGAAACACACCAAATACTTACTTATTTTGAATGCTGTTTCTACAGGGTATTTACGAGGTCTTCCTCTCTTTCTTTTAATAATTATTGGCTGATCTTCCTAGGGAAGAAATTAAAAAGAAAATCAGCGATAAAACCAGTAATTTTAATCTCCATTATACAAATAGTTTGTTTTCTCAAAATGAGATTTAGAATTCCCTAAGAGGCTCAAATTCCAGCTTTGTCACTTAGAAAATAGACTGGGTATAGCATTTTATGTTTTTCTCTCACCAGAGAAATCCTGCTTTATAAATTCAGGAAGTTGAAAGCAGGATGAAACAATGAGGTGCTGGAAGCACTCAATGAGTGGTACCTTTTACTTCTGCAGGAAATACGCATGTTTATTTCAGTTGGGATTAGTCTAACTTACATGTGACCAAAGGTTACTCCTTATTAAAAAAAAAAAAGGAGTCCACAGAATTTCTATTAAACAACTGGTAAACTCAGCATGGTTATCCAGAAGATCTGGCCAATATATATACTGTGACCCTTGAATGACAAAACTCTGTTGGTCTAGTGATTCTCTGCCCCATGGGCACCCTGCAAATGTGAGCAGGCCTGGACAGGTAAGGCTGGGTGAGGCTGTGTGTTCCTGCAGCCTCCCAGGAAGCTGTGCCCTTGCCTCATGAAACGGGACCTCTTGGGTCCTTGCTCCTGTTGCTACTTCCATTTCTTCCTGGCTGAGGCAGCCTTCTGTCCACTGCTCGGTCTTGGTGACTGGGCTGGCAGTGCTAAGCTGCAGGCCAGAACCTGACTGTGCCACTGATGTAGAGCACCGGGCTGAGCCTGTCTGGCCATGACAAAAGTAGGTCTCACAGAAATGTTTTGATGAAACCAAAATGAAGAGAACAAAATTAATCAAAATGACACTGATAAAATGCTCTGTATGAAATGGTGTCCCACTGCACTGAATAAAGAAAGAGCTCCTCTAAGAGGTAACAGAACTGAACATTTAATTTAGTTTTCTTTCTTTCTTTCTTTTTTTTTTACAGGCAGAGTGGACAGTGAGAGAGAGAGACAGAGAAAAAGGTCTTCCTTTGCCATTGGTTCACCCTCCAATGGCTGCCGCGGCCGGCGCACCACGCTGGAGCCAGGTGCTTCTCCTGGTCTCCCATGGGGTGCAGGGCCCAAGCACCTGGGCCATCCTCCACTGCACTCCCGGGCCACAGCAGAGAGCTGGCCTGGAAGAGGGGCAACCGAGACAGAATCCGGAGCCCCAACCGGGACTAGAACTCGGTGTGCCAGCACCGCAAGGCGGAGGATTAGCCTAGTGAGGCGCGGCGCCGGCTTAGTTTTATTTCTTAAAGAACTGTGGACAGTGCTTACCTCCTGAGATTTACTGTTATCCTCTTCATGCTGCTCTGTTTTTTCCCCAGTAGCTTCACTGCTACTATATTCATCTGCAGAGAAGACAGAGCTCAGAGCACTGCAGCTGACCACGGCAGCCTTACTCAAGGGACTGCACAGTCATGGCCACACATGCACACACACTCCATTTGCCTGCCTCCACCATCCAGGTTAATAAACCTGAATTTGGTTGGATGAGAAGCAGCATAGTTTGGGTAGAGTATGATCCATCTATTAAAAATGATTCTCAGGCCCTATTAGCTGGAAGCACAAGGTACAGGGAGAGGTGTGCCAGTTGGTGAAGCATGGTGAGAGGTACCACTGCCATGAGGATGGAGTCCCAATTTTTCTGGGCAGATGACTCACTCACCCTTTTCTTCCACAGGCCTTGAAGCCATGCTGTTTGTCTCAGAACTTGTCTTAGGGAATTCTAAATCTCCAGAGTTTTCTTCCTACAGAGAAATTGAACAAGACAAGAAGTTTCTTTTTCACATTAATCCTGCCTCCACTTATCTTAATCTTCTATTTCAAAAACAATTTATAGCTGTCTTTTAGAATAGTGTGTTGGAAAATGTTTTTAAAAAATAACCTCTGTTGCTGCTAACCAAGTTAGCAGACTCTGCCAATTCATTTAATAGAGCATCTGTAAAATCTACTGGATCCTAAAATGCTGAAAGCAATCAAACAAGTAAGGAGGTCACTCTCAAGTCCTTTGTTTCTTGGGACTCCCAGATTTCCTTAAGGTACTTTGAAAGTACTACAGGACAAGACTGAGACAGGTGAGTACAGCACATGACTGACATATGATGTCAGAGATGAGCTCGCTATCAGTGAGGGCCAATCTACTCATATTATTACATATTAGAAGAGCTTGAATTTTGATTTTTAGATAAAAGGCATATAGAAAGAATGGTTTGACACCATTTTTTTTCACATTCTATGGCTCATCCAATACCCAGCATGGTATACTAGTTAGAGGATAAAAGTTCAACTCATTCAGGAGAGACAAAGAGCCTTTTCCTGAGCAAACTAGTTGCTTTGACATCATCAACTCTGATACTCATGCTGCATGTGATTTTCATCCTAGAACTTCTTCAAGTGCTAAGTGTGTGTGTGTACATGCTGGGGGAAGCTGAGAGCAGGCTTGATTTCTGGTGCCCCCTCATTTCAGCCATAGCATTTTCACCAGTTTTATAGGTAGGCCTAGAGATTCACTGCCCAAAAGTTTTCAAACAACTAGAAGGATGGCATTCCTGGTTTTGAGCTGATTCTTTCAGAGCCAACATTTCGTCCCCTAAGCAATTTTTAATCAGATCCTGGTGACATGCAAGGAACTCACTTTTTATTCCCTTTTATTTTTCCAATTACTGGATTTTTCTATCTATCTAATTTTGGTCTTTTTTAAAAGCCTTGACATATATAATTTATTTTTCCTCCATATACATTGTAGATAAATGACTTAGCTGCTTTTATAAAATAAAACATGATTTTTACATAGAAATCTGTAATAGGAATGTTAAAAATCACTCTCAAACTACTGTTGCAAAATTTTTATTCTTGGTGTTAATGCTAAATGTGATATTAAATAAAGATTACTAATTTGGTCTTGTACATCTGTTTTTGAGGGGAGACTAAACACCACCTACCTTTTATAATAATATGATTATTATTAGAGATACACCAAGTAAAAGACACAAAAATGAAAAATATATATCACAGTAATTATTCAGTTATTTAAACAGGTTACCTTCAAAATTAAATTAAAATGTAGGAAAAGATACCTTCGTGTGTTGTGGCTCGGTTTCAGAGCACGGCCTCTGTGCTGCTTCTGTTCTGCAATCCGGGACATCTGGATTATCATCTGTGAATCAGTTTATAGAATCACAAAGGGACAAACCGACATGACAAATGAAATATAGAGTTCTATTTTAAGACAGTTTGACTTATTTCTTAGGATTGAGATACAGTGAAGTCAAAGTTATTCTAAATATATCATGTCATGATATATTTATCTGAATGCTGGTTTCTGGTGTTGTCAAAAATCAATCAATAAAGAAAATTCCCCAAGTTCTCACATGACACCAACAAAAGAGCAATTCCATGGAAAGGGCTTAGTGCACAGAGCTCCCAGAGACACTTGACTTCCAATTTCTTGATGAATTACCACCTGAGAAGTATAGCTTAGTAACTGAGACCACGGGTTTTGGAATCAGATTTACTTGGTGGAGATGAAGTCATATGTCTCAGAAACTTAATTTCTTTATTTGTATAATGGTGACAATATCTAACTCAAAGGATTACTGTGAAGGTTAAATAGGAATGTATGTTTAAGTATCATGGATAGTCCCTGGACGTAGTATGAACCCCCAAAATAAATTATTGTAAAATAATCACATGTTCTTAACAAAAATATTTAGCTATTCATTCTTTTTATGTTCTCATTATTTATTGAGTTTCTACTTTATGTCAGGTATTAAAGTATGAAAGTCCCTGCACTGTCCAGTAATGGCAGTTATCAGTTACATGTGCCTATTGAAATCTGAAGTTGAAATGATATACAATTAAAAGCTCAAATCATCCATTCACACTGACCACTTTCATATGCTCAACAGCCACATGTGACTGATAGCTACTACACTAGACAAAATACAAATACAACATTTCTAAAGTTCTACAGAAAGTTCTATGGGATGGCACTGTTATAGACCATGAGAAATCTGTATGAAGCCCAGAAGAATTAGAAAAACACTGACTAAAGTGCTTCACTAGCTTTTCATGTAGGACACCTGCTTGTGACTCACTGGCACCTGGCTGAGATGCAGGCCACCTCATAGAGAAGCCTGGATTGGTCTGAGTTCCAGAGGTTGGGTCTTTCAAGGGAAATAATCTAGTTTCTAGAATGAGGTTCAGAAAACACACAAAAGGTGCCAAGCCAGCTGGAAATAAATCAGTCTCAAAAACGGTGAAGTAAACAGCTACCATCCTCAAGAATCCTCTGTTATTGGCTCTTAGGGTGGGAAATTAAATTTTCAAAGATGTTTTAAACAGGAACACATATATTCTAAATACCCAGTTCATCTTCTGAAGGGGGATAATGCTTCTTTCTTTTTCTTTTCGGCATATGCCTTTCTTCCTCTTCATCCTGGAATTAAGAATGACTATATTAAAGGTGACAGGATCAGATGTAAACGAATGGAAATGGGAGGCCATGACACTAGGTCTTTTAGCCTTTGGAATAAACTGATGTACACTAACACTGCTAAGGTGCCTGGATTTGTATTAGACTAATTTTATAAGCTTATGTTTTTTATTTTTATTTGAATGTAAATCCATATAAAACATCCAAATTTATTTCTGTCTACATACCATTTGACAACTCTGAAACATTTTTTTAAAGATTTATTTGAAAGAATTACACAGAGAGAGAAGGAGAGGCAGAGAAAGAGAGAGAGAGAGAGAGAGAGAGAGAGAGAGAGAGAGAGAGGTCTTCCATCTGCTGGTTAACTCCCCAAATGGCCACAATGGCTGGAGCTGGACTGATAGGAAGCCAGTAGCTAGGGGCTTCTTCTGGATCTCCCACATGGGTGCAGGGGCCCAAGGACTTGCGGCCATCTTCTACTGCTTTCCCAGGCCACAGCAGAGAGCTGGATTGGAAGTGGAGCAGCCCAGACTTGAACTGGCACCCATAAGGGATGCCAGCACTGCAGGCGGCAGCTGGCCCCACCATATGTTCTAAAAAATATTTCTCCTTTTACCATTCCTGAAATCAAGCTAGGCTTTATAATCAAAGGCATGTGATGATTTAATTGATAGTGTTTTTGCTACTTTCTTAGTGGTCCATTAAACACGGGCTTTTTGGGGCTGGTATTGTAGTGCAGCTGGCATTCCATATGAGGGCCATTTCAGTCCGGGCTGCTCCACTTCTGATGTAGCTCCCTGTTAATGTGCCTGGGAAACCATTGGGAAATGGCTCAAGTGCTTGGGCTGTTGCTACCCACTCTGCCAAGCTGTGGCCATTATGGAGTGAATCATCAGATGGAAGATTCTCTCTCTGTCTGTCCCTCCCTAACTGCATTTCAAGTCAATGAATCAATCTTAAACTCAAAAGCGGCCGGCGCCGTGGCTCAATAGGCTAATCCTCCGCCTGCGACGCCAGCACACCGGGTTCTAGTCCTGGTCGGGGTGCCGGATTGTGTCCTGGTTGCCCCTCTTCCAGTCCAGCTCTCTGCTGTGGCCCGGGAGTGCAGTGGAGGATGGCCCAAGTGCTTGGGCCCTGCACCCCATGGGAGACCAGGAGAAGCACCTGGCTCCTGGCTTCGGATCAGCGCGGTGCGCCGGCTGCAGCGCGGTGGCTGCAGTGGCCATTGGAGGGTGAACCAATGGTAAAGGAAGACCTTTCTCTCTGTCTCTCTCTCTCATTGTCCACTCTGCCTGTCAAAAACAAAAACAAAAACTCAAAAGCAAAGGCAGTACATGGAAAAACATTTTGATTTACAACATGGATACTTCCAAGTAACTCTAGAACCTTCTAAATTACCTAAACATCACAAGAGCTTAAGCAGGTATAAGTGATATGCAGACCCTTTATTTTTCCTTTTAATGATTTATATAAAGAAGTCATCTCTTTTTAAAACTTTTCTTTGTTTACAGGTGAAAATATTATGGATAATATATGAAAATGCTTGTGTTTTCTATGACAATGTACCTCTTCATTAATTGCTACACTGACAACAAAAGTCACTGTGCACTTATTCCCCATGTAGGACCTCTGTCCTTAATGAGTTGTACTATGAGAATTAACTGCAAAACTTGTTCTCAAACAGTACTTTTTATGTTGTGTGTGTCGGGGTGGGTATAAACTGTTGAAATCTTTACTTAGTATAGAGTTGGTCTTCTGTATATAAAGTTAATTAAAAATGAATCTTAATGAAGAATGGGATGGAAGAGGGAGTAGGAGTTGGGACAGGAGTGGGGGTGGGAAGGTGGGTATGCGGGGAAGAACCACTATATTCCTAAAGTTGTACCTATGAAATTTGCATTCATTAAATAAAAGTTTTTAATAAATGTACCTCTTTAGGACTTGCTTCAACACTGTGACTTCTCATGGCTTCGGTGTTGTCTTTTCTACTACAGGATGCCTCTGAGTAGTACATAAAAAAAAGAAAAGAGAGAAAAAGAAAATATTCTTTCATTCCATGCTTACTTTAGGGGTGTGTAGGTAGGGATGACAGACAGTAATTTTAAGTACCAGTAATGTGCCAGGGACTACAGTATATAGTTCACAAAATAAATTTTGATGGGGTACTCCCAACAACACTGTCAGGTCAGTTCTGTTTTTATACATTAATAAATGGGACTTCAAGGAGGGAAGAAACATGTGCTGGGTCATAACACTGGCTTTTACATAGCAGACTTCAAGGCCCCTTCCCCTAACACAAATAGTAATACAGCATTAAGAAACATCCAAGGAAGGCAATGAAACACATATTACAATCATCAGATTAACAAGCACTCACAAGTCTAACAAACACCAAATATGGGAGAAGGAGTGCAGTGACAATTAGTACGTCACTTGGGAACAATCTGGCACAACGGGTAAAGCTGAAGATGCATGATTTTACATCTAGAGATACAGACACACTATACATGTACTTAACTGGGAAAAGCTATAAATACTCTAAATGTTTACCAATACAAGGAGCAAAAAGTAGTAACGGTGGTATATTCACACAACAGATACTAAACACTAATTAAAATAAAATGACTAGAATTATAGAAATCAATAGGACAAATTTCAGAACATATGTGATATGATACAAATTACCTGAAACAGGCAACATAATGCTACATACTGTTTATGGAACTGTATGTAACAAATGCAGAATAGGGCTTCCCTTTGGAGTGGCATAAAAGGCAAACTTCTGCATTCTGTTTGAGAACAGAATTATCTGTCTGGCACTGGCAGCCTGAACAGGTCCGTGGAATGAGACCAGACTCCTAAGAGAAGGCCCACAAAATGCAATGTCCCCAAGCTACCATATTGAGTCAACCTGTCAGAAGTTAACACACATGACAGTGGAACACACAGCACTGAACTTCTACCTTTTTATGGTACAAACCACTGGGGACTATGTTTTGTGTTTGTACTGGATTGAGTCCACTGTAAGGATTCTAGCAAAGTTGTAGTAGATATTTAAGGCAAGGAGATACAAACAAGCTGTATGGCTTTGAACATGTCACCAAGTCTCACTCAATTTTAGTTTCACTATACATGTCATGCTATTAACATTCACTCTACTGGGTTATGAAAATTTGTGAAGTAATTAGTGTAAGGCCTGTCACACCAAAGGCACTCAACAAATGATTAATTATAGCTAATATTAAAATTACTGCTCTGAAATAATTAACTTACCTCCTTTGTTGTAAGATCTACTATGCGTATCTTCGTTTGTTCTTAAGCCTGAATTTTTGACCTAAATATACAATATAAAGGGTTATTTATGGATAGTCTCACAAAAAGCTTAAAGGTAGGGGGAAAAAAGCAGTATTCATAATCTGACTGTGCAAATGCCAAAAAAAAAAACTGAGTATATGTTCTTTTTCATTTCACCCAGGGGCTCAAGAGCATAGGACATCTTCCTTTTGAAAAAATTTCAGTTTAACCAAGTATCATTACACTGTAATGAATAATCTTGTCTTTAAAATGGTTATGGTGAAAGACTAACAAGAGAAAAATTTTCTGAATTCTATGAATTAGTTCTTTTTTTGATTGATTGATTTATTTGAAAGTCAGAATTACACAGACAGAGAAGGAGAGGCAGAGAGAGAGAGGGGGTCTTCCATCTGTTGGTTAACTCCCCAGTTGCCACAATTGCTGGAGCTGCGCCGATCTGAAGCCAGGAGCCAGGAGCCAGGAGCTTCTTCTGGGTCTCCCAGGCAGGTGCAGGGGCCCAAGGACTTGGGCCATCTTCCACTGCTTTCCAAGACCACAGCAGAGAGCTGGATTGGAAGTTGAGCGGCCGGGTCTCGAACCAGCAACCGTATGGGATGCCGGCATGGCAGGCGGCAGCTTCACCCGCTACACCAAGTGCTGGCCCCATATGAATTCCTTTCTTATCTAAAGAGCTTTCATGATTTTATTTTGTTATGAAACTTCCTGCTTGACAAATCTTGTTAATCTAACTTTTTTCTTTAAACTGATGTGAATGTCTCAAAATATCCTCCAATATTCTAAGTCCTAGCTACAGAATTTTGCACGTATTTGTAGAGGAGGGCTGTGCTCATCCTGGGCAAATGCAGCTGCTGCAACACTCAGGGAAAGGAAGCGGGATGAACCAGATTGTAGAGCTCAGCCCCACTTAATATCTTCTATAATGTATTGTAGGGCAAGCCTGAACCACATCAAGGGGTTTTCTCTTCCTTGTTGTTTGGCAGACTATATATGAGTTTCCAGTTACAAAATGGGGTGGTTCCATGAGGTGAGGTAAGCACTCCGATCCCACAGTTGCCTTACAGTAAGCAAAGCCCATCTGATTCCTCCAGTAAACACCAGGAAGTCTATGCCTGCTTGTGATTTGCAAGTGTTTCACAAGCATTCACTACCACCAAACAACATTCAACAACAAAATCAAAACCATTAGTTACTTACATTAAGTGATTCACTCTGTAGTTCAGCTGTTGAAAAAGAAAAAAATAAGACATAAGGAAACACTATTGTTTCTGAACTGCAGAGAAACAATCTAGAGATTTTTCAGGATATTTAAATAACATTAGTTAACTACTTAAGTGGCCTAGCTGCCTTTCTGAATTATAAAATTCTGACTATTTTCTAAAATCTGTGTTCTGTTATACTACCAAAAAAAGAGAAATTGACAGTGTCTATATTTTTAGACTAATGGCAGCAGTCCATTAAGTTACCACAGTGATTAACTATGTTGGTGATCTGAAACTTAGAAAAAAGGTGTAGATCTTAAGATAGCTGTTAAGCTGCAGTATGACACTGGTTCATTTAGAAATAATGCCATCAAATGAAGTTAGATCCTATCCCCTCAAACAGCAATGGTCTGTTTATGTTCTCTGGAAACTTGAAGTACAGGGTCTACTGTTTCTACTCAACAATGACAGAACACACATTTTTCTTTTAAACAACTTCCTTTTACGTAAGTAGATTTCTTACTGAATTGTACCTAAACATACCAAAGCAGTCTGAAATGTAACTATGGGAACAAAGGACTTTGGAATCCAAAAGTGTTACCTCTTGACAATTAACAAATGAGAAATTAATAATCTGTACTATGAAACATACATACACATTTTAACTAATGCATCTGTCCAAGCTTCGGATCAATTAGTCATCTTTAGAGTCTCTCCTGTCAGCATAAAAGACTTACCGTTTTGGTGTGGTCTTCCAGAACCATCTGATCCTTTTACCTACAAGGCTCTTGAGGTCATTTCAGTTGACTCTGTCTCAGAAGGTTCCCAACTGCTACCCCATAATCTCCTGAGATAGTCATGGGTCAGGATTTATATATAATACTCCTTGAATTTGATTGTGCTACACCTCTACTGCCCTTCTCTTCCCCTTGTCCACCTAAATGCATTTCTATTGATTCTTCAATATTTAGCTCTGAGCAACAGGGGTTATCAAAATTCAAAATTTGATATTCCAATTCCTTTTTTCTGGAAATGCTTAGGCAAACACACAAAATGATATATACAGAAGTTTATTGCAGCTCTAATAATAACACAAAACTGGAGACTACTACAAGATCTAAAACTGGAAAATGTGTTATAAAGTACTATTTAGCTAACAAGGAGAGAGAAAGAGAGAGATACTGGTTTAGCAAACACAAGTTTTCTTCCAGGTGCTACCCAGGGGCTGATCCCCATAGACATATATGTATCATAAAAGACACATCTTTTATTATAGCACCAAACTCATCTGCAAGTCCATCTCAGTGAGGGATGTATTTCCATTTTGATTTTTCCTAGTACTCTGTAAGTATATGGCTTAATGTTTGTCAGGAGACTAATTTAATGAGCCAAACTGACTATAGAAGACATGAAAGCTGGCTTCCTGGCTGTTTCTCCAAGAGCCCACGCTGTGGTATAGGACACTACATGGTTCCAGGAACAGAGACCTTGAATTAATTAAAGTAAACCTGCAAAGTATATTCTTCTTGTCACTGTACTTCAGTGTGGACACATATACCTAAGCTAAATCAACGGTAGGTCTCAAGATTTTGGCCAGAAATGATATGATAAAGCTACTTTCCTAAAAGCCACAAATGAGAAAGTAATCACTTGTGTGGGGGGACAATGGGTTTCTGGGGCTGGCACTGTGGCACAGAGGGTTACTGCTGCCTGTGACACTGGCTTCCCATACAACTACTGGTTTGAGAGTCAGCTGTTCCAGTTCTGATCCAGCTCGCTGCTAATGTGCCTGTTACCCACGTGGAAGATATGGATGCAGTTCTAGGCTCCTGGCTTCAGCCTGGCCCAACCCTGGCTGTTGTGACCATTTGGGGAGTGAACCACCGAATGGAAGATCTCTCTCTCCCTCTCTCTCTGTAAATTTGACCTTCAAACAAATCTATACTAAAAGAAAGAAACTAAGCTTCTACTATATGGATCACTGGGGATATCAGTATGTTTTTGGATTATGCTTTATCTGTATTTTTAATTTTGTGAATTATGAAATTCCCCTTTAAGCAAATATTTATAGATTTTGTTATCTGCAAACAAAATCATCTTGATTGCATGAACCTGACTTGTATGAACATTTCAATTTTTTTTTTTTTTTTTCTGACAGGCAGAGTGGACAGTGAGAGAGAGAGACAGGGAGAAAGGTCTTCCTTTGCCATTGGTTTATCCTCCAATGGCCGCCGCGGCCGGTGCACTGTGGCCGGCGCACCGCACTGATCCGAAGCCAGGAGCCAGGTGCCTCTCCTGGTCTCCCATGGGGTGCAAGGCCCAAGCACTTGGGCCATCCTCCACTGCACTCCCGGGCCACAGCAGAGAGCTGGACTAGAAGAGGGGCAACCGGGACAGAATTTGGCGCCCCGACCAGGACTAGAACCCAGTGTGCTGGCGCCGCAGGCGGAGCATTAGCCTATTGAGCCGTGGTGCTGGCCTGAACATTTCGATTTTTTAAAACACAAAAAGAACTGGTTAAATTTGGTCATGTACTTAAAATTTTCTAGTACTATTTTTCTTAATGTGTCAATCAGAAGAAAATAAACAATGATTGGAGTACAAACTAGGAACAATTTTCCACTGTTACATTTCTTCTTATTTCCAGTGCCTAATCCAGTGGTCCTCAAAGTGTTTTTCAGCAGGGATCTGCAGGGTTATACTAATGTCATATCAATACCAAGATGGGGCTGGTATTTGGTACAGTGGTTAACACACCATTTAGGACACCTACATCCCATGTCAAGTCCCAGCTCTACTTTGATTCCACCTTCCTGCTAATGTGCTATCTGGAAGGTAGACGGTAATGGCTCAAGTAGTGGGTGCCTGCCACCAATGTGAGAATCCTGGATTGAGTTCAGGGCTCCTGGATTTGGCCTAGCTCAGCCTTAGCTATTTCAGGCATTTGTGCAATGAACGGGTAGATGAAAGATCTCTTTCTTTGCTTTTCAAATAAAACAAACAAATAAATAATTTTAGTTATATAAATATAAAATGCTAATGGGGAAATGTACTGAGGGGTATATAGGAACTTGTTGTAATACCTCACAATTTTTGTTTTGTAAATTTAAAATTAATAATTTAAAATTAAAAAATAATTAAGAAATATTGAGATGTTATGAACTCATGAGTACACAATGGAGTTTTTCAGAGGCCACATTATAAATCTAAAATTAATGAAAAAGCTATTAAAATATAACCAAGTATCTATAATGTTGTATTTTCTTCATATACTTCAAAAAAACAACCAGCAACAGACTAAAATGTGGCAAAAGATATGAGTAACTAGCTGTTTTCTACTAAACCAGACTTAAAAGAGATTTGCAAAAATATAAAACAATGTCACTTTTCATTAATTTTTTTTGTTTTGGAAAATCTAGCTATTTTTCCTGAAAAGTATTTATGTTATCTTACAGTGAGTTAAATATATTGAGTTAATGTTCATTTTTTAACTGTCTTATTTTTAATTTATTATTTGGTAAATGTCCATAGGTACAATCCACGTAACAAAAGCTCTTTGGGATCTTCAGTAATTTTTGAGGGTATAAAGTGGTTCTAAGAGTAAAAAGTTTGAGAGCTGTGGCTTGAATTCATTCTGATATTGAGACTGTCCTTAAAAAATCTGCAGCTGACAATGACAAATGTTGCATAAAGAGACTGAGAGGAGGCTGAACAAGGTAAGAGCAATTTTAGTGCAGCCAGTGGGGCAAAGTGTGAAACTAAGAGCCAAGAGCAAATCCCAAGTGGACACACGGGACGCAGGCGAGCTCTGCCTTTTTGAAAAGAGCCACGATAGTGCCTGGAAGTTGGGGATAGAGCAAGTGTCTGCTCCCAGACACCTTTCTTTGCCACTACTGTTTGGATACATCTGATTTAAACGATTACCCGACATGGAAGTGATTGACACTTAATGAGAAAAAGCATATGTTAAAGTAGTATTCTATCTAAAAGTGAGAAGGATTACTGTACCTGTTTTATTATGAATCTGTTCATGACTTTAAGGTGCAATGCAAAACAAAATACATACAAGGAAAAAGCATTGCAAATTACCACCAAAAGCAGCTTACCTGTTCCACTTAGCTTTCCCTCGCAGGTACTTTCCACTGGTGCTACAATGTTCTGATTTTTCTCTTCTTCTGAAGGCACAAATGTCTAAAAAATCCAAACACCAGGAAAATAAGTTAACTGAAGTTACCATAAAAATGAAAACTAAATCTTTCCTCATATCTTATCTATCACTGGCTTTCCTATTTTTTAAAAATAAAACTCCAACTGAGCACAACACACATGGCTCCTCCTGCTGAGTCCCATTCCCTTGCCAGGTTTAATTCTTCTTCTTTTTTTGAAGATTTATTTATTTTATTTGAAAAGCAGAGTGAGAGAGAGAGAGAGGGAAAGAGAGGGAGAGAGGGAGGGAGGGAGGAAATCTTCTGTTCGTTCACTCCTCAAATGGCCACAATAGCCAGGGCTGGGCCAGGCCGAAGCCAGGAAATTGGAACTCCATCTGGGTCTTCCATACGGGCGGGCGGGGGGGGGGGGAGCACTTGGGCCATCTTAAACTGCTTTTCCAGGTGCATTAGCAAGGAACTGGATCGGAACTGGAGCAGGGGGGACTGGAAGTGGAGCAGCAGGAACTGGAACCGGTGTTCATGGGGGATGCTGGTGTCACAGGCAGATGCTTAACCCACTGCATTACAAGGCTGGCTCCAGGCTTAACTCTTATCACAGTTCTCTTGAACCAACTGCAGCCCCTCTGTCAACATACTGCTCCCTTTGCCTGGAGGCTTTGTTTTTCTTCTAGTAAACTCCTCTACTTTCTTAATTGACTTAACTGTCCTTGCAAGCTCTCCCACCCACCCATTGCTCTTGCTGGGCAAGTTGTACTTCTGTACTACTGCACTGCTCCTAACTCCCAGGCTCACTGCTATCTTGTCATCATATATACAAAAGGTGCCATGAAATCTGCCGGAAAGGAGGCATGGAGGCTAAACTGTGGAAGGCTCACAGGCCAAAACAAGGTTTATTTTAAATGTGATGGGAAGCCACGGGAACTCTGAAGCACAGCAATGACAGCGGACTTGTTTTATGTTTTTAAAGACGACCTGCATGGCTGTATGAATCGCACTCTGGAAGAAGGGCTGCAGCAGAACTAGAATTCTAATGGGATGCTACTCAAGTAGTGGTTTAGATGAGGTGATAGCTGTAGAAACAGATGGATTCATGTATTTTAGAAATGGACACTGTAAGAATTGGCAATGATTAAATGTCAATGATAAGGAGAATCTGAGGGTGATCCTGGGTTTCTAGAATTCAGAAACTGATTTGATAAAGTCATTATTCACAACAGTTACTGAGGTTCTTAGCCCCCCACCACAGGATATAATAACAATAGTAAGAGTCATTAGTACAAGGAAATTAGGAGCTAAAGTATATATATGAGGGAGTTTCAAAAAGTTCATGGAGAATTTGAATATTTTTAAATTTCAGCTGTCCACAAACTTTTAATAAAAATTTTTTTTAAAAAATTATTTATTTGAAGAGGGAGGTGGAGAAACACTATCTACTTTACTTGTGCAATCCCCAAATGCTCAAAATAACTAGATCTGGTCCAGGCCCAAACCAGGAGTTGGCACTCAGTTATGTCTCTTACGTCAGTCATAGGGACCCAAGTATTTGAGCCATTTCCTGCTGCTTCCCAGGGTGTGCATTAGCAGGAAGCTGGGATCAGAAGCAGAGCAGATTCTATAACCCAGGCACTCTGATGCAGGATGCAGGCATTCTAAGCAGTGGTTTACCTACCTGTCCCTCCATGAACTTTTTGAAGCTCTCTTGTATGTGTATAAATACATATGCATACAGAGTGAAATGGTACTTAACCACTTATAGTTCTGTGTAACTGAATTGTCAGCCATACCTCAGTTTCTAAGTTGGTTTTCAGTTCCAATTCTCTCAGAACATTCAGTGGAGACTCTTCCTTGCCTAGTGAAATTCAAACCATTAAAAAAACTTAAGAATTTGCTTGCAAAAAATAAATCCCAAATCAAAATGTAACAGAATATTGTTATCTGGCATGCTATGCCACCTTCCTTTGGTGATTTATTCTGTTGTCAGTAGAAAACAATAAAAAGTAATATGCTAAATAAATAGGATCTGGGTGAAAGATAGGGATCATTTATTTATTTGGGGGAGTGCAACTGTTTCTTGCTTGCACAGCAAGATGGCTGCCTGGAAAGAATGATAAAATACTATTTATGGAGACATCTTATTTCCAAGTATTTTTTTACACTGATCTCCACCAAGCTCATCCCTAGAAGAAAACATTTGGAGTCACTGAGGTACATTCTCAACAAAGAAGGTGACTTACGGAGTTGCTTTATTTGTTTCATGCTGACACAGCAAAATTGACCATAAAGTTTAAAAACTGTAAAGCAGATGAAAAGAAAATGGATTTTTTTCAGGAGGAGATTCAATTCTACGCTGACCCTGCCTTTTCCTTTTTCTTCCCTGTCCTCCCTCCTGTGGCCTTTAGCTTTTCCAGTTTTCTTCACCTGCCCTACATAAACCTCCAAAGAAAAGCTTTCCTTCATTTTTCTGAGCCATCTGCAGGCTTTTTCAGGCACTTTCTTGCTTCTAGATTTGCTCCGAGGGGCAGGGTGTGTGTGTGCGTGTGGCGGGGTGGGGTTGGGATGGGAGGGGTGGGGGTGGGGAGTAAAGACAGAGAAGAGAAATAAACTGCAGCAATTACTGAGTTAGAAAAGCTTTTGAAGCATTCAACTCACTCAATTTAAAATGGAAAATTTTTAAAGATTTATTTACTTGAAAGAGAGAGATTTCCCTTTCCTTGGTTTACTCCTGAAATGGCTGCAAGGGCTCGAGTTGGACCAGGCTGAAGCTAGGAACCCAGAAATCCATCTGGGTCTCCCACATGGTTGATGGGCCCAAGCACTTGGGCCATCATCTACGGCTTTCCCAGGCGCATAAGCAGGGAACTGGAGCAGAAGCAGCATAGTGGACATTTGAATTGGCACTTACATGGGATGCTGTTGATGCAAGAGGTGCCTTGACTTGCTTTACCACAACCCTTAAAGCTACTATTTCAATCCTTGTTTCAATCCTTAATCTGTTTCATTTTAAAAGTTCAGAATGCCACAATTTATTCAGCCACAATGGAAAATGCATCAACGTCCCTGCCCTCTTCCAGTTTAGCCTATGTGCTCTTTTTAAAAATTTATCTTAAAGGCAGAATTACAGACAGAGACAGAGATAAACACAGAGAGAAAGATCTTCCATCTACTGGTTTACTTCCCAAATGGCTGCCACAGTTGGGGATGGACACAGGTAGAAGCCAGGAGCAGGAGCTTCTTCCGGGTCTCCCATGTGGATGCAGGGGCCCAAGCACTTGGGCCATCTTCTATTGCCTTCCAAGGCCATTAGTAGGGAGCTGGATTGGAAGTGGAGCAGCCAGAACTCATCCAGTGCCCAAATGGGATGCTACTGTTGCAGGCGGAGGCTTAATCTACTACACCACAGCGCATTAGCCTTCTACGTGCTCTCTTTAAGTTGTCACAGCATTCTGTGCTTCACACATCCTTAGCACCTGTCACACTAGCAGCACTGCCCCCAAACTGGGTGCAATACATGGCTGGATTCACAGCTGTCTCCCCATGTTGACTATCTTGCACCCCAGAGCCTAATACTTGTATAGCCCAGAGCCTAGTACTTGGTATAAAGCACCTGAATTTGGAAGGTATAATGAATGCCTGAGATTATAACTTTGAAAGTTATCAACTGTTTCTAAAAGATGAGAACTCACTGAAATCTGTCAGAAGGGAATATGTTCCCTTTCTCTTGCAAACATATTCTAAACCAGAAATTAACTCATTTTACCTGAATAACACACTCAGTTAAAAAAAAGTAATGTGCTCCCTTAATTAGAAGCAGCCAGCAGACTGAACTGATACATACTGCAATTCTATAGTAAATCAAATGAGGGCAGAAATGATGTTTGTCTCTGTACAACTGTCCCTCATCATCCCTATTTTGTACAATTAAAAACTGAGGCTCAGGAATTAAGACTTTTTCCCACCTCAGGTACCCAAGTGCCATGACAGTTACTTAAATTTTCTGACCCTATTTCCTTATTTGTAAAATGAGGGCAAAAGAAAATATTCATTTTAGAGGGCTGTGGTAAGGAATTCTTCAACTTGACTGACAAGAAACCTGAAGGTCCCAGAGATTCAGTGACTTGCCAGTCATCCAGATAACAAGTGGCCAGTCATTTCCTGGGCTTCAGTCTGCTGTCTCTTCTCTCCTTGCACATAAGAAAATGGGTATAAGGTTGCAAACTTTTAAACATAAATATCAAAGAAGCTCAACCTTAAAATTTGGTAAGAGCTATTTTGAAAAATTATAAGAAAAAATTGATACTCACCTATCACTCTAGAACCCAAACCTTGTTTGGGAAGACTGTCTTACTTACACCACTATATCATCTTTGTAAAATTTGCAATTAGAAACAGATTCTCACCTATGTCACCTAAACTCTCTTCAGAAGAAACAGTGACGTTAAGGTGTCCTTCCTCACGGAATGCTTTCCTCGTGCCATTACCATCTTCTGCTTTCTCAGAAGAGGCCTGACTTGTCCATCTGTCATTATGACCACTCTCTGTAGTCAAGTCCTGCTCACACTTAGGAGCCGTCGGAGCCATGTGGTAGGCAGCTGGAAGTATCTCGATGTGAGAAGCAGCAGTCTTCACCTCCTGGCCAGTAATATGTTCAGTGGTAGTGGTTTTCAAGCTATTCTCAGGCCCCTGCTGGTCGGGAGGATCAGAGACATCTTCTGTGGCACTGCCTTGGACAGGTGGCATGCTGTCAGGTTTTTGAGCACCAGTATTTTCTGCTGCCAAACAGTTAATACTGACAGAGGGGTCATCACCTGTTTGGGCAGACATCTGTTGCAGTCCTCTGCGATGGACAGGTAAGTTAGCACTCCTCTCTGAGCCCCTTCCTACTGAATATCTAGCTGAGCTTCTGCCTGCTGCCGTTCCTGCCTCTGGGCTTTTGTCTAATACAGTCTTTTCTTCTGCACCTATGAGGCACAATGCACTCTCCTTTTGTTCTTGTTCTCTACATGGTCCTTTGTCAGGGCAGTCCTTACTCACTCTTTCTTCTTCTGTACAAACAGCACCAGGCTGCCCTTGACCTGCAGAAGGCTCATGGATTGATGGTCTGCTGTGCCCTCCCTCAGTGCTTACTGCCATCACAGGGCCAACTTCTTTGCTTCCCATAAATGGCCCAGGACACTGACAGTTATTCTCAGCAATGAGGCTGGGCATGGGAACCTCACATTTGCTCACCGTTGTGGCTGACAAGTCATTGTTTCCTCCTGGGTTGTTTGCAGCCAGCTGATTGTCTTTGTGTCTGTCTAGGCTGGCAACCATCAGCACACACTCTGCTGTGCTGGTAGAGATGATGGCAGCATCACTCAAGTCTTCTACTCTTACAGATATGGCCTGATCTTCATCCTGGGTGGCAGCACCAATCATGACTGCTTCACAGCCTTCAGAGGTACTTGTGGAAATCATGGCTAAGTCATTCATCTCTTCTGCTGGTGTGACCAAGGGGTGGACTTCCTCCTGAGGGACAGCGCTGGACACTGGACCCTCACAGTCCTCCACAGAGCTTGTTGAGATGACAGCACTCCCGTCGGTAATGGACTGCTCATTTTCACCTTCAACAACTGCCCCAGAAATAGATGCCTCACATTCTTCTGCTATGCTGGTGGAAATGAGGGCACATTCATCTTTTTCTTCCTTGCTGGTTGAGGCAAGAAGACTTTCAACTTCTGTGGGTGCACTGGGCATAGGAACCTCAAAGTCATCAGTGCTCACTGAGGTTGGGCCCTTAGCTCTTTCTTCAGCTGCTGCCACTGGCTGCTGACTTTCAGCACCTTTGATAGTTGTTGCACTGGAAATAGGCACTTCGAATTCTTCTTCGATGCTTGTAGAAATCATGGCACATTCATCTTTCTCCTCATTTCTGCTGGCAGCAAGTTGGCTCTCATCTCCTGAAACTGCACTGGGCATAGGTGCCTCAAATTCTTCCATGTTTATTCTGTTACCTTCTATATTTTCTTCAGCTCTCAAAGTACCTGAGTGACCTTTACCCATGTCTGTAACTGCACTTAACTGAGGGGTGTAATCACTTGTACTGGTGGAAATCATCAAGCCTTTGCTTTGACTTTCCCCTCCAGCCAGGCTATTTTGGGGGGTAACATCATCACTGGCGGTGGTAGCCATGATGCCATCACACTCCTCAATTTCTACAGAGGTGATGACACTCTCATCTTTTCTACTTGGTGATGTGTGGCCAATTTCACATTCTGGGACTGCACCAGATACAAGAATATCGTAACTGTCCCCCACCATGCCAGTGGAAATGGTGGTATCTTCAATCTTTTCTTTCTTGGTGAGCTGACTGTCACTTTGATCAGAAGCTGCACTTGTCATGGGATCCTCACAACCTTCTGGAATTGGCACCACTTCACCCTTTCCTGCCACTGCACTGGTCACACTGCTTTCCACAATCCCTTTTGCACTGGAGCAGATTTCTATGTCTTTGATTTCCTTCTCAGCACCACTCATGCTATCAACATTACTTTCATTTGCATTCGTGATGGCCGCTCCAGCTTCAGCTTCTACTTTCTCTACTACAGGACCCATCTGATTGTCTCCTTCCGCACTTTCACAAATCAATACCCCTTCACTTTCTTCTCCAATCGCTGTGCAAGTTGAGGCATGGCCAATTTCATTACCTCTTCCAGTACTAGTCACAACACCCTCCCCTTCATCATCTTCCTCTTTTGCACCTGTGCTGGTCACAATGCCCTCATCATCACACGGACCAGCAGCAACTAATTGTACATTAGTGACTTCTTTGGCTATTGTGCTGTTCATTGCACTCTCTCCACTTTCTTCTGATTCAGAACTTATTGCAAAACCTTCACTGCTATCTTCTGAACCTGTGCAACTTGCTGGCCCCTCTCCGTCTTCTTCCGTGATCCCTGTGCTGGTGACTGCACTCTCACCTTCTGTGCCATCATTCACAGAGCCATCTCCATCTTGAGTGGCGCTTGTTCCAGGAGGCATTTCATTATCTGCTAGGATCACACCTGCACCCGTAACCACACGCTCCTCTTGGGGTCCTTCCCCTGTTACTGAATAGATGACGAAGTTATCACTTCTGCCTTCTGTTCCCGTACATGTTACAGTGCCATCGGTTTCTTTCTTGGGACATGTTCTTGTCATATTTCCCTGGGACTCTTCGACCTCCTCACTGCTTACAGATCCCACTCTTACTTCTGTCCCAGCACTAGTAACTGTTCCATCACTTTCAACTTCACTAATAAAAACAACAGTTCCTTCTACTATTTCTGAGTCTCTACTTGAAGAACCATCACACTTTTCTTCAGAGCCTGCACTAGTTACAGCATCATCTTTTTCCTCTGTCACAACTCTACTCACATTAGCTTCAGTCTTAACTGTATGAGCAGCCACTGGGTCTGCTGCTCTATCTTCAGATTCTGCCACAGCACACTCTCCACTTTCCCCTTCCTTGGTGCTTGTGAGGAAAGTCTCACTTTCAGCTAATCCTTCTGTGACAACACCTCCACCTTCTTCAGCTGCAGCAAACACGGTGCTTTCGCTGGCTTCTGACCCACCCTGAAGACGACTGCTTCTTGGGCTTGCACCTACTGTGAAGCCTTCGTCTGCCTCAATGCTGGTGCAAGGCAAGGCCACCTCCCTCTCCCCTGTTTCCGAAGAAGTGGTGGTAGCATCCCCAGCCTTGAGTGGGATTAAGGTGACACTGCTGTCCTTCCCATCAGTGCTAGTGGCAACAGAAGTCTTTTCTGCTCCACCAGACCCAGCTGCCACATTCTCAGTTTTTCCATTTCTTTGGTGTGAAACAGAGGATGCAGCATCGCCTTGCGCACTGGTGTCTACCTCATTGTTTTCATTCTTTTTATTACCATCAATGGAAATGCTTATGTCACCTGAGTCTTGATTATGTTCAACAATTTCAGCATCTTTTTCTGCATTCATGCTTACCATATGATCAACAGCAAGGCCATCCTTCTTGTCAGTTTCTACTGTAGCTCTAACTCTCTGCTTTAAGCTGAGTTCTGCACTTATGTCACTCTCTTCCTTGGTCATGTCCATCAAGGCACCTTCTGTGCCAGTGCTCTGATTTTCTACAAGCCTGTCTGTTACCTTGCTAGCAGGAAGCAGGTTAATTTTTCCTTTACTGTCCAATAAAGTAGCCTGGTAACCTTCTGGAATGTGTCTTTCATTAGTCATGCTTGCTTTTGCTGGAGATACAACTGTGAGATCTTCATCTTCTTTGTTGTCACTTGTTCTAGGGACTTCTGATTCCTTAACAGCCAGCCTTTGGTTAGGGACAGCAGAGTGATGCATAAGGGAGGTACTGGCTGTGCCACATTCCAAAACAGTTCTTTTTTCAACCAGAGGAATCACATTTGAATCATGAGGTTCTATCTGAGGTGCAACAGTCCCTGAACTTAAGGACAGTGAGGGAACTACATTTATGGAATGTTCAAAAGCAATACATTCTTCAGTGGGTTTGGCTGTGGTTGTGTTTTTCAAATTTTTTTGTATCATATCATTTTCTGACAGGGCATCAGGTAGCATTCTGTGACTAGTTTCAGAGTCTACATTCACTTCATGAGTTCCTTGTGGAATGGGCTCCTTCTCTCCCAGGTTTGGTTTGGACAGGGTGTTTTGGATCTGCACTTTCTTGGTCAGGGTGCTTTTATGGTCAGCATGCTTTTCAGAATTACTAAATCCTGTTCCACGCCCTGATTTACAGGATGGAGCTGCTGGCTTTGAGTCTACTGCTAAAGTTCTTAGTTCATCCTTTAGAACTGTGGCAGTAGGTTTTTGTTTCATAACATTTTCAGAGTCAATGTCTGGTTGAGAACCATTAGTGGTGCTGTCTTGGGTTTTAGACACTTCAATTATATTTTCAACGGTTGACTCAAAATCAATGTCCATTGGCTCCTGCTCAGGAATCAACGTGCTATCACCACTTTTTTTTGGTCTCTGAAGGGAAGAACTACTGGGAGTGCTGGAAGTACCCAAAGTGTTTAATTTTTCTTCTCCTTTGGTCACTTCTTGTGATAAACTTCCCCTTCGATTTTCATACAACTTTTTACTTAATTTCTTTTCCATGACTGAACTATTTCCTCTGGGCTTTTCATGATTACAATCAACTTCTTTACTATCCTTGTCATCTGATTTATTTTCTTCCTTCTTTTTCATGTCTTTACTACTATGCTTTAAGCTTCTGCTTTTGTGTCCGTCTGACAACTTTCTTTCAAGTCTGGATGAGCTCAAATCTTTATCACCCTTATATTTCTCCTTTGCCAAGGGTAACTTGGCTCTATGACTAGAATCTTTCTGTGTGTTATGTGTTGATGAAGCAGTACTCTCTAACACAGGTTCAACACTAGTTTCTTCTACAGGTTTATCTTCACCTTTTGACCTGCGCTGTTTGTCTGAGTCATTTTCTTCTGGGCTCTTCTCCTTATCTGGTTTTGGAGTGGTAGACTGTTTTGCAACACTTTCTTGTAATTCTGCTTCAACAGCTTTTAACTGTTTGCCTTGACTTTTTGATTTAGACTTCAATCCAAGTTTCTCTTCTAAGAAACTCTTTGTCCTACGCTTCTCCTTGTGAACATCTTCTGGTTTAAAATTACTGTCTAAATTAATAGAGTCTGTATCACACTTATCTTCTGAATAACTTTCACTTCGTTTCTGTAACATGATACCATGTTGTTTGGAGCTTGGAGAATCTTTCTGAATTCTAGAATCACTTGATCTTCTTGATCTGTGCTCTGCCTTAGTTTTTTCGGCTAACACATTTCTCTCTTTTTTGTTGCTTTCTTTACGAACATTCTCATCTGTTTTTATAAGATATTCAGAAACTGGCTTTCCATCTTTGCCTAAAATTGATAACCTCCTCTCATTCCTATGTTTACTTTTCCGTTCAGTTTTCTCATCTGAAAAAAGCTTCGTTTGCTGACTTTGCTTTTGAATATTTTCCTCTACTTTTACACCTTTCTCAGAGAAGTGAAGTTCAGTCTCATCGCCTGTTTTATGTACACCATCACCTTTATACTTATGTTTCGTAGACATTTTGTCTTCTGACAGAGTTTTCTCTTTCTCAGGCCTTTCCTTGGAGGATTTCACATCCTTCTTAGGCAAGCTTTTCAAATGTGGTGTTTCAGAATCATCTTTTTTTACATGCTTTTCATGTTTCAGTAGGCTTTTCTGCTTCTGGAGTTCTTCTGGGCCACTCTCTAAGCGTTCTACTTGTCTTTTCCCATCTCTTGTGTCAGTTTCTTCCTGTGCCCCTTCAAGCACAACAGGGGTAGACGTACGTCTTTTATGTTCTCTTTCTGTTTTGGATTCATTTTTGTTTTCATCAGCTGAATGTAAACATTCTGAAAGTCTCCGGGCAGGTTTGCTTGGTTCACATTTTGTATGAGCATGCTTTGGGTCCTTTGAAGAAGACAGCTTTTCCTTTTCACAGTGCTGTGACAAAATAAAGATTAAAATATGAGAAACAACAAAGCCAATTTTTTAGATTTAAATTTAACATGTTAAGTGCTGCTACCTGTGTTACACCTTACAAGCTGCCTACAGCAGGTATCATTAACTTAATTTTATGCATCAGAAAGCTCAAGTTCAGTCTGATTCAATAATTTGATGCTCAGGTAACAAAGAGCTAAGCTAGGACTGAGTTTAGATATATTCATTATATATTACAGGCATCTGTACAGAATTTATTTTTTCTGAGATTTGCTCATGCATTTAGACAGCCTCTTCAACTCCAAATTGCTAGAGCCTACTAATGCCTGGTAGTCATTAATAAATTTAAGTGGAATGAATGACATTCCAAAGCTTTTTTCAATCTATTAACATAATACATCACAATGAAGACAACTAAAACATTTTATATACAAATAAAGGTTTCCTATATTTTAATTCAGAAACTTGAGTCATTCATGAAAATGTAATGAATTTAGGCTACCTTATAATATTCTACTTAAAAAGTTTCAAATGAACACAAAAACAGAAACAGTACCATCTAGTATGTATTTATATGTATGCACTCAAGGGGTGATACTGAGAGAACATCTGAGCCCTCCTCCTTCCCTATTGGTTTAACACTGAGTAGTTATTAATATTAATGGGAGACCAGGAGGAAGCTCCTGGCTCCTGGCTTCGGACTGGTGCAGTGCTGGTTGTGGCCGCCATTTGGGGGGTGAACCAATGGAAGGAAGACCTTTCTCTCTCTCTCTCTCTCTCTGTCTAACTGCCTGTCAAAAAAAAAAAATTAATGAGTATGTGCTGATGAAATCCACATCAATACTCATTGACTACTAACTATAATATTTCAAATAATGGGCTGAAGTCTTCAGTTAGACCTTTGTGGTTCTGGGTCAACTTAACACTGCACCTCCTTAAATTTCAACACTAACATTAATGTACTTCTAATATAGGGACGATGACATTCCAAGACTTTAATAAATACCTTCAAATTAAATTCCTCAAAGAAAGGACAAACAGGAGTCTGCACCAACCTAATTTTAAAATAATGAGCAATGAATTTAAAATAATAGAAATAAAATTTATAAGATAATTTTTCTTGGGAAATGTATCATAAAACAAAGGTAATTATTTTAAAATGTGCTATTAGAACATCAGGATATGGTTACAAATATGCCTCTAATTTATGATTAAAAATTAAAAGTACTTATTAGATATGGAAAAAAAAATCATGAAATTATTAGTTTTCCTCACTGGAAATATTAAAATGTTTCAATCATATAATTATAAATAAGCTTGTGTATGTAAGTATTTAAACCCAGTGACGGCCAAAGTTTGTCCTAAGAAAATAGTACTAAAAGCAGGAAGAAATGTATTCATTTCACACATAATTAAAATGATGAATTCTTGGATATAATCTAAGTGCTCAAATATAAGGAAATTCTTAAATAAACTATGATATATTCATTCAAAATAATAAGATCCAATCATTAGACAATTAAGAAGCTTGCAAGGTAACATGAAAAGAATCAAACATTAAAAACATTTTGGGCCGGTGCCGCAGCTCACTAGGCTAATCCTCTGCCTTGCGGCGCTGGCACACTGGGTTCTAGTCCCGGTCGGGGCGCCAGATTCTGTCCTGGTTGCCCCTCTTCCAGTCCAGCTCTGTGCTGTGGCCAGGGAGTGCAGTGGAGGATGGCCCAAGTGCTTGGGCCCTGCACCCCATGGGAGACCAGGAGAAGCACCTGGCTCCTGCCATCGGATCAGCGCGGTGCGCCGGCCGCAGCGGCCATTGGAGGGTGAACCAACGGCAAAGGAAGACCTTTCTCTCTGTCTCTCTCTCTCACTGTCCACTCTGCCTGTCAAAAAAAAAAAAAAAAAAACAAAAAACAAAAAAAAAAACAAAAAAAACAAAACAAAACAAAACCATTTTGCCAGATTACTTCTGCTACAAAAAACTATGTACAAATGTGGACAAAGAATCAGAGAATAAAATGGATGATTTATTAATAGTGGAGTGATTTTATTTTTGCCAATATAAGAAATGAGTGAAGGTAGATAGAAGAGAAGAAAAGTTGCTATTATTTAGATAGAATATCATATAAACTAACTCACCAAAATGACACGTTCAGGACATAATAGGATAAGGATTTAAGAATGCTGAATGTGAAGACTTTTTTTTAACTTGGAAAAAATCAAAGTACACCTTCAGTTTTACTATGAAGAACTAAATGGCCTGTATCTTAAAAAAATTGAATAAAGTTTTATTAATACACACCTCACTTGTTTTGACGGTTTCTTTAGAATCTTCTTCAGGCTGTTGTTTCTTTTTGGAACTTTCTTCCACATTCCTAAGGGTAGAAAAGTCAAAATTAATTCTGAACCAAAAGTAAGAATTTCTCAGGAGGATAAAAAAAAAAAAGGCTTTCTTTACTATAAATACTTGATCAATAAATGGACTTGCTGCATTTCAATCTAAATCCCATTCCTGGAGCTGGCATTGTGGCACAGTGGGTTAAGCTGCCACTTGTGAGGCCAGCGTCCTGCATCAGAGCACCAGTCTGTGTCCTGGCAACTCTGCTTCTCATTCAGCTTGCTGCTAATGTGCCTGGGAGGGCAGCACAAGATGGCCCAAGTGCTTGGACCCTTGCTACTTGTGGGAAACCTGGATGAAAATTCCTGGCTTCTGGCTTTAGCCTGGCCCAGCTCTGGCTTTTGTGACCACCTGGGTTGTGAACCAGTGGATAGAAGATATTTTCTCTATATATATTTATAACCCTGCCTTTCAAACAAGTAAATAAATCCTAAAAAAAGAAAAAATTCATACTTGGAGCAGCCATTCAGTACAGCAGTTAAGATGTCATTTGCCCCCCCCCCCCCCCATCTGATGTCGAGGTGCTTGGGTTGGAGTCCTGAATTCACTTCTAATTCCAGCTCTCTGCTAATGCACACCTGAGAAGCAGCAGGTGATAGCTCAAGTACTTGGTCTGCCATCCACATATGGGACATGGATTGAATTCTGGACTCTTGGCTTAGGCCTGGCCCAGCCTTTTTGTTGTAAGAATTTGGGGAGTAAGCCAGTGGATGGAAGATTTTTCTCTCTCTCAGTCTCTCTTTCCATAAATAAAAATAAGTAAATTAGAAAAAAAGTTCCATTCTTTGTCAACAGAGGAAAACACAATCCCAAATGTAGCATGAACTGCTGTATGCTAAAGTAAAGCAAAGCTAAAACAAAAACAGATGTGTTGCAGAAAGATGAATACTCTATGGGTGACAATTACATTTTTTTAAAAAAGATTTATTTATTTGTTTGAAAGGCAGAGTTACAGAGAGGCAGAGGCAGAGAGAGAGGGAGAGGGAGGGAGAGAGAGAGAGGTCTTCCATCAGCTGGTTCAATCTCTAGATGGCCACATCGGCGGAGCTGAGCCCATCCGAAGCCAGGAGCCAGGAGCTTCTTCCAGGTCTCCTACGTGGGTGCAGGGACCCAAAGACTTGGGCCATCTTCCACTGCTTTCCCAGGCCATAGCAAAGAGCTGGATCAGAAGTGGATCAGCTAGGACTCAAACTGGTGCCTATACAAGATGCTGGCACTGTAGGTGGCAACTTTACCTGCTGTGCCACAGCGCTGGCCCCAGACAATTACATTTTAAGTTTTATCACTTTTGAGTAAATAGGACAGTTCTATTTATTGTGATCAATGGAACTGAAGTATTATAATAAATTTCAGAGCTGACTCCTTTCACTGACTTCTGCAAATTACTGATCCAGTTATCTTTCAGTTTGTTATTAGTTTACATAATTGCAACTGGATGGAACAGTAAAATTGTAGCCCATGGCTCAAGTGACTTCATAGCCACTCTCAAGAGTATATCTGGCTTTTTAATTCTTACAGAATTAACTGATAAAGCAGTGTTTAAAATGAATCGGGGGGCCGGTGCTGTGGCATAGTGGGTAAAGTCGTTGCCTGCAATGCTGGCATCCCATATGGGCGCCAGTTTAAGTCCCGGCTGCTATACTTCCGATCCAGCTCTCTGCTATGGCCTGGGAAAGCAGTAGAAGATGGCCATGTCCTTTGGCCCCGGCACCCTCATGGGAGACCCAGAAGAACCTCCTGGCTTCTGGCTTCAGATTGGTGCAGCTCCGGCCACTGTGGCAATTTGGGGGAGTGAACCATTGGATGGAAGACCTCTCTCTCTCTGCCTCTCCTTCTCTCTGTGTAACTCTTTCAAATAAATAATCTTAAAAAAAAAAAAAAAAAAAAGAATCTGGCTCAGATTCTGGCTAGGGAGAAAAGCAAGAATATTGGTAAAAAAAAAACAAAAAAAAAAAACAAAAAACAATACATGGAAAGACTAGAGAATGGACACAATCACTGTAAGTAAGTGACTACTGCAGGACCAGATCAGAATACTTCCTGAGGTCCATAAATCTCTCAAGCTCGAGGGATAACTGTTAGGCTTATGGATGTACACTTTTCTGAGAAAAGGATCTAAAACTTTCGTCAAATTATAAAAAAGGTCTGGGACCCCAAAAAAGATTAAGACTAGTACTTTGAAACATTACAGATACTAACAAAACATATTATGACACTGAAAATGAAGCTTTAAGGTCCTTCATAAACATGAGATAACATACATGTTGAAGCTTGATTCTTTACAGCCATTTGCAATGCCTCTCTTCTGAAAGTATGCCAAGAGGGTGCTACAATGGGAACATGGCCAGATAAAACATGTACCTTGAATCTTTTCTTCTTTTTTTGCTTAAGGCTACTTTTTTCTCTAAAACTTTCCTTTCTTTAAGTACTTCTTTAATTCTGGGGACTTTAAGTTCTGAACTTTTTGTTGTGGATTCTTCTACATCCATGCTACTTTTGCCTAGGAAAGAAGTAATCAATAGACAGTATTTCAGAAGACAGTTTTATAAATAGTGTGGTATTTTTCATTCAGATTCTCCAATCATTGTAAAAATGAAAATGGCTTTGACATTCTTAAGTTATACTGGAATAAGCACAGCATTAAAGATGGAGAAATTATTTTCCACAGGATAAGTGCCCAAAGAGAGTTCAATTTTGTTCAATAGTCCAGATAAATGTATGTCATTGTAGTTAACACAAAGCATACATTAATTCCATTAATATCACCATCACAGCTTGATGACACACATTAACAATTATTTTCCCATGCAAATTTATCCTACCATTACTTAAAAATAAAGTGGTCACACATGAGTTGCATAAGCTGCTAATTGAAAGAATGCTTAAATATAGCAATATAATGACAAAGAAAAATGGCTAAACACACCAGTAAAGAGTATCTTCCACATTGAGAATAGGTCATTTTGTGTTGTATTCATGTCTTAGAGGTAATGTAAGAGATTATAATGGAGTACATAAGATGGTTTAAAATAGTGAAAGTCAACATCTGCTATACCTTGACTCTTAGCTTTTGAAGACTTTGTCTTTTCTGCTTTTTGTTTCCGTTTTTCTTCAAGTTTCTCTCTATTAATTTGCCTTCTTAAAAGTCTCTCTTCTTTTTCTTTAGCCTAAAACCGCAAGATACACCAATAGATTATAAGGCAAAAGTAAAACACTCTACAAAAAAATAAGAAAAGTTTCAGTTTTCCCTTGCCATACTCTTAAAAATTAATCAGCTCTACAAAATTATGTATACACTACACACATTTGGAAGCCACCAGAAAAATGAGATAAATACGGAAATAATTATGAGCATCAAGTGTATGCAGGTAGGTCTCTATAACTTTTTAGTTATTTTTAAAGTTGAAATTCAGATCCAAGTGATAGACTAGTCCTACAACAAATCTGTCTTGGATCTTAGGTTTTGTATTGGGACTTTGTTCTATTTTAAACTAGAAAGAATTCACAATCACTCTTACTCCTACCACCTCTTTCCAGCCTAGAGCTCAACATTAAAGTGCCAAAAGTCCTATATGGGTGGGTGGGGGGGCTTAGCTCTTGACCAAGTAATATTTTCAAGAGGTAAGCCTGGGAAGAATGCTAATCACTTCTATTATCATTTTGGTAGACTTACTTCAAATAATTTTTTCTATATAATAATATTTCCTCACTTTGAGACATACAACATTTTACATCTTAATGTTTCTGAAATTATAAGCCATTTTAAAACTGATGTATATACACAAGGAGGTAGAAATTTTTCCTAAAAAGTTGCTATTAATTCAATTTCATATCTGATAACTGGAAGTGTTTTCAAGTTAAAGGAATATGTGGACTATATTCTCTCATTTTTTTTTTTTAAGATTTTACTTATTTATTTGAGAGGTACAGTTACAGAGAGAGGGAGACACAGAGAGAGAGGCTTTCCATCTGCTGGTTCACTCCTCAAATAGTTGCAATGGCTGCAGCAGAGCCCACTGAAGCCAGGAGCCAGGAGCCAGGAGCTTCTTTAAGGACTTCCATGTGGGTGCAAGGGCCCAAACACTTGAGCCATCTTCCACTGCTTTCCCAGGTCATCATCAGAGAGCTGGATCAGAAGAGGTGCAGGCGGGACTAGAACCAGTGCCCATATGGATGCCAGAAGTGCAGGCAGAGGCTTAGCCTACTAGGCCACAGCGCTGATCCCAAAACTCCCTCTAATATTACCACAATGGCTGCATATAAATCTGTGTGACTTGATTCATAATTGATGTAAACATTTCCATACCATGAAACATTTATGTAAGCAGATTTTTACTACCATTCACAATGACACAAACACCTTCACCTCAAATGTAAACACATTCTACCTACTTAAATGATAAAGTTCCTGAAGGCAGAGCTTGTGTGTCTTTGCTTTGTATGCACATCAGTACCTGGCACACAGACTATTCAAGTTTGTCAATAGCAGACTAAACTAACAGATCAAGTGGGACTTACAATAGACTGCCGCCGTTGTTCTACAGTGAGTTCATCATCAGAATCACTATAGTACTTCGAGTAAAGATATGGTTTGTGAACATAAGCATGCCGTACATTTTTTACTTTTCCTTCACTAGACTCACAAGTTTGAGTTTTTGTTTTATTCTGTGTGTTCTTTTCTTCATCTGGAACAAAGTCAACAGAAAGAAGAGTTCTTCTATGAATTAACAATGAAATCAACATTATGCTCTATAAAAGCAGTAAAGTATTATCAATATAGAACAAGCATATATGTAGGACTAAAGGAGGAAATACCACTATGCGAACATTCAGAAATTGACATTTTACAAAGTTATCATTTATGTTTTATTTAACAATTAAGCTTCTTGCACATAAAAAGGAAAAAGGCAAAGAAAAATTAGCCCTAATATTTATGTTGATAAATTCAACATTTTATCGAGCAGAGAATTACTCATGAATATGGCAGCACTCAGAACCAGAAGAGATTCTGAAAGCTGTGCTTTAGCAGTTTGAGCAGTGCGATTTAACAGGTGGAACATGGAAGCAAAGTAAAGGATCTGAAAGTAAAGACAAGACATTATTGGACTGGCTACAGGTAGGTGTCTGCCTGATCTGGTGGACAACTGGCAGTTTCTGACTGGCTAAGCTTCAGTTTCTTTTGTTTAATTATTTTCAATTTACATTGAGTTCCAGTTTACTTACACAGGAACCCAGGGTGCTGGAGCCCTTTCAGCCTAATTGCTTTCCCCACCCCCCACCCCAAATTTTTAACAATGTTATCGTAACATACAGCTAATTATTTTTTAAAAGATTTAGTTATTTTAAAGGCAGTTAACGTGGACAGAGTGGAGAAGAGAAGGGGAGACAGGGATGGGGCAAGAGAGGGAGATCAATCTTCCATCTGCTGGTTCACCCCACAAATGGCTGCAATAGCAGGAGCTGGGCCAGCCCAAAGCCAGCCAGGAGCCTGAAACTCCATCTTGGTCTCCCATGGGTGCTGAGGCCTAAGTTCTTGGGCCATCTCCTACTGCTTTCCCAGTACATTATCAAGGAGCTGATTTGGAAGAAAAGCAGCTGAGACTAGAACTGGCACCCACATAGGATGCCAGTGTCACAGGTGGCAGCCTAACCAGCTGTGCTACAGCACCAACCAAAAACAGTTAATTCTTATTTGCTTGTCAATAGACTTGATATAAATGTTTTACCCCTTTTAAGTCAAAGAACATCATTTGAAATCATACTTTAAAGTAAAAGTAAAACTGAGATTTTAATGACAACCTTCAAATTTCTCATTCAGTAAAGAGTTCGTAGGAATCAGCAGTGGTTCTACACCAAGTATACACTAAAATCTCTTTACTTAAAGAAGGCAATTTGTCTCCCTTTGACATAGCAGGAAGTAAAGGGGAAAAAAGTCAGCAAAAGCTTTCACTTCCTAGGACTCTTAACCATCTTCTTTTTCAGATCCCATATACACAAAATCTAGCCCTGTCCAGGAAAAATTTTAAAAAGATCCGCTAAAGCACCAAGAATGGGAACTCTGACTGGGGTAGAAAAAGCAGCACACTCAGAGGATGAGAAGCATCCTTCCTACTCAGGCAATGGACTTCACCTCATGAGGACGGACATGAAATGTAGGGAGGGCTGCTGCTGAAAGATGGGAGAGCCCAAGAAATGCAACTGTGGTATTAACAGTTTCTACCTTTTCTTCTCTATGATCGTCTCCCTAGGTAGCCAATCCAAAAGCCAGCAGTAAATTTTACAATACTATGCCACATAATTGAAAACAGAATTCAATGTCTTCATTTCCAAGTCATAAACAGAATTTAATCACATGATAAAGAGCAGCATAAGGTTCTGCTTAGAAGCAGATTTATACTTCAAACCTGCACTGATGCTCACTAGCTACATGACTGTTTCCTTGCCTGTATTTCCAGAGTTGCTCTGAAGATTCCAGGAACTATTTCATAGAAAGCCCTTAGCACAGTGCCTGAAATATGGTAAGTCCTCACTGAGGGTTAGCTGAAAAATAAATTGTATAATAAATAATCCATCCTTTCCCCTAATTTCTCTAAAGCCTTGGGCATTCCATGCCTGACTGAAATTGTTCTGTTTGCTTAGCAGTCCTGAAGCAAGCCAAATAGTCTACCAATGTTATGTACAATGTGGGAGCTTTGGGTCACAGAGTAGTAACCTGACCTGAAGAGATGCTAGTGACTGAGATCAGCCACAGGTGCAATCAACTGAAGACCACATGCCGGGGCGGGGTGGGGGCCTTGAACACCAAGGCTCTGGTGAACTTTCCTGATTGGCAATACTCTGTGCATATTGTCAAGGAGGTAGCACTGTCTACAGCTCCACAGGGGAGGACAATCGGAAACTCCCTGTTTGCATATTTCCTGGACTCTGCTCTATGTGCCTGTTCCCTTGGCTAATTTTAATCTGTGCCCTTTAGCGGTAATTGGTCATAACTGTTGAGTATCCCGGCTTCTAGTAAGTTCTGTGAATCCGTCCATCAAATGACTGAAGTTAAGGATGGTTTTGAGAAACCTTGAATTTACAATTAGAGGTGAGGGTGTAGGTAGTGCCTCCCCCATATATTACACACAAACACACACACACAGATAAAAGCATCTCCATACATACTATCTCATCTAAATCTCATAATGATCCTAGGGAACGGAGTTAGAGATGGACAATCAAGGCTTGTTTGGTTTAGTAACCTACTACACATGTTTAGACAGATAACTTCAGAGCTGGGACTCAGAAACAAATCTTCCAGCTATGAAGTCCCATGGTCTTGCCACTCTTCCACACTGTCTTTCAGGATACAGCCATCAGAACACACAAATAATACCCAATGGGAACCTTCACAGAGGCATTATTAAGGAAAATGCTTTACCATCTGATGTAATCTCTCCTTCTTCCATGCTATCAGACATCACAACTTCCTCTTCAGTGTCTTCTTCAAAAGATGAAAGGTCACTGGTATGGACAGAGCTAACGGTAATGTCTGTAAGTCCATCCACATCAGAATCTATAAAGGAGAAATCTTCGACAAGAAAATAAAACACAGAAAACCAATCACAATGTTACACAACCATTCTTAGAGCCCAATTCCCAAATAACATGAAAATTTTTCTGCTTTAAATATACATCAAAGAAATCCAACTATCAAATAAAGTAGAGCTGTTTCCAGAAAATACAAAGGCAAACTAATTTCCAGTAAAAATAATTATAATTTATGATGTGATACTTACAAAAGCAAATTTTAAGTAAGTTACTGAAATATTTACTACCTAGTATTTTATTTTATTTGGGTTTTCTTTTTTTTCAAGACCTTGATAGGTCTTTTTTTATTTAATAAATGTAAATGTACAAAGTACAACTTTTGCATTATTGTGGCTTTCCCCCCATAACCTCCCTCCTACCCGCAGCCCTCCCATCTCCCACTCCCTCTTCCATCCCACTCTTCATCAAGATTCATTTTCAATTATCTTTATATACAGAAGATCAACTTAGTATATACTAAGCAAAGATTTCAACAGACTGCACCCACACAACCGCACAAGATATAGAGTACTGTTAGACTAGTAGTTTTACTGTTAATTCTCATAGTACAACACATTAAGGACAGAGATCCTACGTGGGGAGCAGATGCACAGTGACTCCCGTTGTTGATTTAACAATTGACACTTATTTACGACATCAGTAATCACCCGAGGCTCTTGCCATGAGCTATCAAAGCTATGGAAACCTCTTGAGTTCACCAACTCTGAACTTATTTAGTCAAAGCCATATCACAGTGGAGGTTCTTTCCTCCCTTCAGAGAAAGGTGCCTCCTTCTTTGATGGCCCATTCTTTCTGCTGGGATCTTGTTCACCGAGATCTTTCATTCAGGTTGTTTTTGCCACAGTGTCTTGGCTTTCCATGCCTGTGAGACTCTCATGGACCTTTTAGCCAGATCCAAATGCCCCAAGGAGTGCTGTTTAGGGCATCTGCCATTCTATGAGTCTGCTATGTATCCTGCTTCCCCCGCAGGATCATTCTCTCCCTTTTAATTCTATCCTTCATTATTTGCAGACACTGGTCTTATTTGTGAAATCTCTTCAACACTTAACCTATCTTTTTGATCAATTATGTACTTAAACTGATCACTTTAACAAGTAAGATGGTATTGATACAGCCTCCTTGATGAGACTGAATTGGAATCCCCTGGCACATTTCTAGCTCTACCACTGGAGGTAAGTCCGAGTGAGCATGTGCCAAACTGTATATCTCCTCCCTCTTTTATTCCCACTCTTATATTTAACAAAGATCACTTTTCAGTTAATTTTAAACGCCTAATAATTGTGTATTAATTACAGAGTTCAACCAATGGTATTAAGAACAAAAAACAAAAAAATACTAAAAGGAATAAAATAATAAGTTGTTCCTCAACAGTCAAGACAAAGGCTGATCTGGTCATTGTTTCTCATAGTGTCCATTTCACTTCAAACTACCTAGTATTTTAAAGCTTAGCTATGGATTAAGTTGTCTGGAATAATGTGGGTGAATACATTGCAAGACTTAAATTATAAAATTAGTTTCTCTTCTAATACATACATCTGAATAACAAAGAAAATATCTCATAAAAAGTTCACGCCTTTTTTTTTTTTTTTTTTTTTTTAGCAAAGGGCACGTAAGTTTTCAGTTCTGAAATAAAAGTATCGGAGAAATTGATTAGAAGGCAAATTTGAGACTCTCTCTTTCCCCAGACAGACACACTATTCTTGAAAGTGTTCTTGATGTTTGCAAGGTTTTGCATACCTTCCTTTGTCCCTTCAACAGTTTTAGCTTTATTACTATTCTTTTCTGAAGGAAGTTTTGAACTCTCTACTTCTTTATCCTTCATTTGTTTTTCATCTTTTCCTTTCTGTGCATCTTCACTCCTCTTCAAGTATTCAACTTTCTTTTCAGTCTTTTCCTTCTTTTCTTTCTTTCTTTCTCCCTTTTCATTGATCTCTGGTTTCTTTTCACCCTTGTCTGTTGATTTATTTTTTTGGTCACTGCTTTCCTGTTGAATGTCTTTACTTAGCAGAATTAAGCCATTATTCTCCTTTGTGTGATTCTTAATGTCTTCCACTGGACAAGGGAGATCACTAAATTCTTCAGACTTTGAGGCCGTTTCCAGTCCTTCTCCTCCAGAGTCGGGGGTAGATTTTTCTTTATCAGCCATGTCCTCTGAAGTTCTCTCTTTGTCAGCACTAGCATCAGCACTTGGTTGAGATGGGACTTTTTTGGATATTCTCTCACTTGTCTTGGCATTTGATGTTTCTGTCGAAGCCCTGGCAGCATTAGCTTCTTGGTTAAGAGAGCTTATGGTTTCCAAGATTGACATGGCATCGTTGGCTACATTAGCACTGGGCCCAGGAGTAGGGATGCCTTAGAAGAAAAGACAAATTTTATTTTATTATTTTATTTTTAAAAATATTTATTTGAAAAGTAGAGTTAGAGAGAGAGAGAGAGACAGAGAGGGAGAAGCAGAGAGAGTGAGCTCTTTTATCTGCTAGTTCACTCCCCAAATGTCTGCAATGGCCAGGGCTGGGCCAGAGTGAAGCCAGAAGCCAAGAGCTTCTTCCAGGCCTCCCAAGTGGGTCATCTCCCACTGTTTTCCCAGGTGCATTAGTAGGGAGTTGGATTGAAAGTGGAACAGCTGGGACTCCAAGTGGCGTCTATACAGGATGCCAGTGTCGCAGGCAGCGGCTTTAACCTCTATATCACAACGCTGGCCCCGGAAAAGACAAATTTTAGAATAAATTTATACAAAAGGTAAACACTTCTGCTGAATCAATGCTGTGTGCTACTGTCATCTTCATATGATGCATATCCTGTGTAGACCATTTGCTTACCTCTAGCATTCTAAATACCAGTGCCAGTATACACTTTGAATTCTTTCACTCTCAAATGTCATACTGCAGGAAGCTTACCATGCAAATCTGAGAATAGTCTAATTCCCAGGAAAAGAAATATATTTTCTCTCTACTATAACACACACATACTCCTACAGTTGCTCCCTCTCTCACCATTACTAAAATGCTTATCATTTTGTATTTATCTAAAAGAAGAGGAATAGCATGCTAGTTGTGAAATTCTGGTGATATTGACATAAATTCTATTTTACTAACATAGGCAAATAGAGAAATATTTTAAAGAATCAAATGGGGGCTGGCCTGTGCCACACTGTTTAGGCCATTGCTTGAGACACCTACATCCCATGCTGTAGTACCTGGGGTTGAGTCTTGGTTCTTCTCTTCAATCCAGCTTCCTGCTACCCTGGGAGACAATGGGTAATGGCTGGAGTGATTGGGTCACTACTACCCATCCAGGAGACCTGGATTGAGTTTGTAGGCTTTTGACTTTGGCCTGGCCCAGCCCTTACTTTTTGAGGGCATTTTTGGAGTAAACCGGTGGATGGAAATTCTTTGTCTCTGCATTTGTCTATCTTTCAAGTAAGTACAACAACAACAACAACAACAACAACAACAAAAGGAATCAAATGTCCCTAATCTGATACTCAGTTCAAGAAAAGCAATGAAACTGACAAAGAATAAAAGCAAAGCACCTTGTGTAATGATGGAAGAGTCTGGTTTCTCCTCATCAGGCGATGTGCTGCCACTAGCTTCCTCTTTGTGATTTAGTGTGGCCAAAAACTCATGCACAGCTTTCTCTACCTGAGGTCTGAATGTGTGGTTGATCTTTGGGTCCACAACCTGAGAAATAATTCTGTCGATACCAGACTCCAACATTCCTGATCTGAAACACAGGATAATTTATAGAAAGGTGACACAATTTCATATTATTTGCATTCAGTACTTTTAAATAAAACTGTATTTTACATGTATATATATATTCAATCTTAAATTGCCTCAATCCATTCATCTGGATACAGAAAAAGGAGGCAAAGGAAAACAAGTTTCAAACTATAGTGGCATTTAGATACCCCGTACTACAAAATAGTCTATGAAATTTCTACCACCGTGTCACTAGTGGAAATCCTAACAATGACAAAATAAAACAAATCAAAAACACCCTTAGAATTAGATACAGTACATCATTTAGAGCCCAGGTATATTGACAACCTTTACCTCACCCCTACCCTGCCCAGGGCATGTAGAAATAAATTTATGACTAAAAGCTGAGGTCTGGGCATAAAATAAATCTATGGACTCTCCTTTTAAACAGAAAAACAAGTCTTCTATAACTATCAGAGTCTCCATGAAGCCAGACATACACAAAGTATAATTTCATCAAATTAAAAAAAAAAAGCTTCAGGAAAACAAAACTTGAGACTTCTGGCTTTCTTTTTATTATTTTCCTGCTATAAAAGCTAGATGATTTATTCATTTAACAGTCATGTTATGAGTATCTTCTACATAAAAGCACCATGCTGGCCTCTACGCGGCTACAAATCAGACCTGGTCCCTTTTCTGGGAAGAGAGGCAGACACAGAGAATTTTTTGTATTTACAAGAAGACAGGCACTAGTATACCCTGTGAATTACAGGAAAAGAGAGAAATAAGGCATGATTGGATATGTGTAAGATAATTTGGGAATGCATCACAGAGGAAGAGACATTTGAACTGTGTCTTGATTCCCGTAGAAAAGAGAGGGAAGAAAGGTGCCCATTTCACGTATGAGAGACAGAGCAGTGAGGAGGCCATCAATCCGTGCAAAGTGCTTTTGCAGAACAGCAGGAGTCCAAGCAAAATAGAAGAAAATTTACTTTAGAACAATCCACTTTCTGCCTAGGAAAAGACTGGAGGAGTCGAAGTACTCAACAGTGCTGGAAGATGGAGTGTTCGTCATTTTCATCCTCCAGGCCTCAGTGTCTCTCCAGAGCATGCATGAGAAGCCCCTTCCTTTACACATTACAAATGCTATTTTTAAGTGTCGTTCTGTCTAGAGTAGAGGATGGATTAGAGTTTTATTTCCTAAGGCACCTTGCCACCTTAAGATATTATAATTCCACTTATGTGGGACATAGAGAAAAATGAGCCAACACAGCATAAAGTAGGTTACCTGCTTTTCAAAGTTCTAAGATTAAAAAGAAAAGCAAATCGTACAACCACTCTTATCTTATCACAGAGGTGTCCTTTAAATGTAATAGGTAAAAAGGAATAAGGAGAAGCAATGTTAAAAATGTTTTTTAAGGTATAAGTACAAAGTTATAAAAGAAAAAAATACCCCTCCCCGAATGTCTTGTTTCAGGTTTTTTCTGATTGCCCATGTCCCTTACTCAAATGTCCTGTAAACAAAGAAAATACTGCTCTTTAGTCCTCTCTCACATGGTGGTCAGCTCTGACCTTAAATAAAATGGAGTCCAGCCCTAATGATCATATGGCTCTTAGTGGCCTCAGTGACTTACGGAAGGGCCATAGATTTCTCACCAGAGTGGAGGGAAGCCATAGTTCTAGGCTCCAGTGCAAAGCCAAAATGTCATCAGCTGACATTTCCTTGTTATTTACTTACGTTTCTTTCAAATTCTATTAAGATCATTATTCAAAACTATAAAGAATTTTCAGATTCTGTTGTACAAATGAATGCCCAAATAGAATAAAATTCTCCTTTCTGCTGAGTCAGATTAATTACTAAATTGAATAATCTGACATTGCTGATACTAGATCACTTTTGTCCTATAAAAATGGCAATTGCAACTAGATCAACCTGAATCAATTGAGTATATCTCAGAATATTTGTATGAAAAACTTCTAAATTATAATCACTGTATCCATCTCTATGCCATCAGTTTGAATACAACTAAAGCAATCTCTTTAAGGAAACTTTATATTGTTACTATCAGCATCACAAAACTTTAATAATGGAACTTAAAAAAAAAGTTCATTTAAAAATAAATAGTATAACTGGAAGAAAATTTAGAGATGTCCTAGAAAGAGGACTACCTAAATTATCCAGCTGTTTTCCTTCTTAAAATGTCTCTAAAGGAAAGGATTTCTTATTACTTACAGAAACAGTGCTCCTGTATGTAATCATTGACATAGTCACAAAGACCCCTTCCCATTCATCAAACATGATTTTGCAACAATGTCTGATACTAGTATAAGTATTTTAAGTGCTTGATTTCCACACGTGCAATACCGAGTTTAGTTGCCTTAAGTAAAGTAATAAAGAAGGCTTCCTCACCTTATGGACTTCCTATGTTCAAGAGTAAATGTAAATTCCAGAAAGTATGCCTTCTATTTGAGACCCTTAATGTATGCAGAAAATGAGTGCAAGATTCCCTAAAATGTGCTTTTAACATAATGTAAATCATTTGTTGGAAAGGGAGGAGGTATGTAAACTGCTGAAAGAAAGCATTTTGTACATAATCAGTAGGGCTCTGTACAAATGTGTATGTGTGTGGGGGGTGTAGTGCTCTCAGTGAGCTTGCTTCAGCCTTCCCTCCCTCCCAATTCCTGTTCCACTCTGGTCACTGTTCGCCTGATTACTTCGTGGAAACAAGTAACTCTCCAGGACTGTCAACCAATAGGCCTCTTCTGTCTCTTCTTTTTCTGAAAACAGCAATGACTTTTTCCCAGCAGGTATCATTACGCAGTCCTCTAATGGCATCTTTTGATCTCACCTGGACTCTTTTACAGGTTCCTCACATATCCTTTAAAACGCAGACAACAAAGTTATTATTGATTTCTCTTTTCTCTTATTCACCAAGTTCATGGTTTCCAGTATTACCTGTGGCTAAATGGATCTGTGTTTTTGTCAGAGTATGAATTTTAATTTGGGTTTCCTGTGGCTTGGAACTATCACACTAGATCCGCTCATAAGATCCTAGAGGACAAGATGGAATTAAGAGGTGGCAGGTATAAAATATAGGTTTAGCTATTTAAAAGCCTCATTTTGTTCTCAAAGATGTGCTTGAATATAAATATTTTTCAAAGCAGGAATACTGGGTGCTCTTTAATTAACTTAGTTACCCTTTCTGAATAGTGAAGCAGGAATAGAAAGTCTTTTTGTCTTGGCAAATATTTATATTCAAGAACAAGTATAAGTTACAAATTAGGGACTGGGGTGGGGTAAATACAAGTTTCTTTAGGCCTCTAAATATTCCAGGTCTTCTCATTCTCTTTATCTTATTTCACTCATAATGACTATGACAGATCTTTTTACATTATCACTAACAGAATTAAAAGGCACAATAAAATGAATAAAAAAAAGAGGGGGAGTGCATTAGAAGGTATGGCCTCTAATCAAGGGTTTTTAATGTCTTTCTTTACAGAATAAGAAAATAAAGCCTGCACTTTTAGGGTCAAGAATATAGCTGTAAATGTGATCGTGTAAGATATTATGGCATTTACCATGTATTAATACCATATCTAGATTTGTTATTGTGAAAATCACATTATTTCCTTCCTTCAAATATTTTCAGAGGTCTATAGAAAAAAATGTTATTAAATTTCATAAGGGAAACGCAAAGTAATATAGCCACAAACCAAAATTATACTGCAGCACATGAAGTAGCTACACCAAAACTTCTAAAACTGTCAGCATTAAGTCAATTAACTTTAGATAATGTCTCTTCTTTCAGGCAAAGTGGGTGGGACATTTTCAAACCTGTCTAGGAATTCTAACTCTGAGACTTACTTCAGGACTTGTTGTCTAATATTGTTTCTTAGTTGATTCTTATTGAGATGGGGACTCCAGGTATGAGTTGCCAAGTGGTTTGCAACAAAGTTGTCGACACGCTGTCTCAGATTCTGATAGGCTGGCTAGAAAGAACAAACAAACATTGATATTAAGAATCTCCAGTGTTACACAACATGGACAGTCTCAAGGATTTGAGTATCTTTAACAGTGTTAATATTGTTTATGCTATCAATGTGGCAACAAAGAAACACAGTTTAGGCAATCCTGTTTGTAACTTAATCTCATTGGAATGTACTGCATATTTTGTCCGAAACAAGATGTTTCAAAGGAATACAAAGGACTATAACATAAGAAACAAACAAATGTTATTGTTACCCGATTTGGAGCAACAAAAGGGAGAGGAGCTGAGGAAGTAAGCCTTCATTGTCAGTGTGGCATCTGAGCTGGAAAAATCTGACTGGAAGTTTAACAATGTAGTGGAGAATGGGAACAAGCCTCCCCCCACCCCTTGCAGATACAGCCAATAATATAAACAAAGACCAAGGGGATAAGAACATGCAGGGTCAGGAGCATTTGGGAACTCCTCAAACTGGCAGTTCAATTTGGTTGGAGAAGAGAACACAAAAAGGCAAAGAAATGAAATTGGAGACCTAGGAGACCTAGGGCCAGGTGCTGGAAAGCTTCCGACACTGACAAGCTGCAGGAAATTATGGGGTAGAGAATGGGAACCTATTGCACACATGAGCAGAGGGATAGGGTAACTAAGCTTTCTGAATTTATCCTCCCACAGTGAAAAAGGAATGTACGCAGGAAAGTACACAATAACCAGAGTGATGAAAGTCTGCATTGGGCAGGCAGAAATAGGCTGAAAGGCATGGACCCCAGGGAAAGTGACACTCATTTGAACCAGGCATTAAACCTGCTGTAAGGCAATGGTTCTCAACCAGGAATGATTTCATCCCTACCTCCCAGAGGACATTTGGCAATGTCTGGAGACATTTGGGTTGTTATAATTGAGAGAACTGCTACTGGAATCTAGTGGGTAGAGGGCAGGGATGCTGCTGAACATCTCCTCCCCAACTCAGCAAAGAACTGAGGTTGAGAACCCTTGATACGTGGGGTTCAGGACACATAGTTTGTCATTTCTACTTAAAAGTCATTACTTAGAAGGAATGTGTAACCACTCACCCTGGGGACTACACTCTGTTCCTAGAGATCCTCCACCACCACTCATGTTCTGTTTGTCTTCCACGTGGCTTCTAATGTATGTGAATTTGGGTGTCCCCGAATGACTTGAAGCAAAATGGTACAGCCTCACCTTCTGCCATCTGTCCCTTTGAGCTTCAAATTTTATACTCTTGCAACAAATTCTCATGCAGCTACCATTTCCTCTACTTGTCCATCTGTTAAACTTCTCAGCTTCAGAATTCTCTCTGTGAAGTAATCCTGAAACACACTGTATGCTTCTGAACCTTTCTTCCATGTTCCTATTGTCACCATAATACTACCATTTGAGCATTCTCACACTGCACTGTATTTGTGAGAGAGGGATATTTATTTCTCTACTGAAGTGTAATCTTTGTTTTCACACAGCCTAGCACATGGTCTGGCAGATAACTAGGTAACTATATCCAACATAGAATGACAAAGGTTTTATCATTATGAGATGGACTTTCATCAATTTGCAGACTTTGTTGATACCTATTTTATATCCCATAAAAAAGTTTCCTGATCATTTCTCATGTTCCTTCCCATTTATCACAATCAATGTGAATTAGAACAAATTCTTCCTCCCCAGTGATTCTAAAGCATAATTCTTCTTTCTGGTATTTTCCAATCTAATAAACACTAGGCTCAAACATCACAATGCAATCAACATCCTAGTCTGCCCATAACAAGTTTATATTTGAACTACCCAACAGGCAATTTTTCTTCTTTCCAAGTTTTCCTTTCAGTAACAAGTCCACTGACTAGAAAAATAGTCATGGAGCATTCACTAAGACATATTCTAGGAAAAATACATACAAACCTTCTTCCTTTTCCAGTGCTTTTGTCTGAAGCCTTGGAGCCATCCTTGACTCTTCCCTTTCTCTTCTATCCCACATCCAAACCACTAGCAAATTCTGTCAGCACTAGTATCACAATTCATCTGGAATCTGACTAGTTCCCATGACCTTTACTGCTTCCACACTAATCCAAGATATTCTCATCTTCAGTCAAGATTTTAGTAACTGACCTCCCTGCTTCTATCTTTGCCTATCTGAAGTCTACTTTCCAACAGAGTAGTCAGAGTAAATATTCTAAAATTAGGGTAACTGCATAATTTATTATCCAAAGCAGATCACCACTAAGCAAGAAAGGGGACACTATTAATAACTGCCCCTGGTAAACCTATCTAAAATGGAAGTCAGATCATGTCTGTCTTTTGCTCAAGACCTGTCAAGTTTGCTCAGTTCCAGTAAAAGCCAAAATCTATGGTATTGAGGCCTACCAGATCTGTGAAGGGAAGAAAGGCATTCCTATCTCATCTTCCATCACTCTCGTCTTCTGTATTCCTGTACTCACTACGCTCTGAACTTGGAGAGAACTGGCTACTCCATTCTTTCAGGGATGACTCAGAATCATTCTGCTGAAGCATTCCCTCAACAACTTACTCAAAACAAAATTCTAGGCCTTTCTACTCCACACCTTGCTGTTTTTTTCCCCATAGAACTCATCACACTTTATTTCTGCTTTCCTCTGCAAAGACGTAAGCTCCGTAGTACTGTGGCACTTAAGATGGTGCCTGCCTAGTACATAAGATTTGTTTGATGAAAACTTTTGGATGAATAAACTAACCACAAGCCATGTCTAACTGAGAAAGTATCCAAACACTGGGCTTTCTCACTTGGGGAGAAGGGAGTCACACTTACTTGGCAGGTACGCTCCCTGCCTGAGACAGAATGATGGGGCCTCTGGATCTTCCCTCCTCAATCTCTAGCTGCCAATCTGCACAGTGAAGCAAGAATTTTTTTTTTTTAAGACCTATTTATTGGGGTTGGCACTGTGGTGCAGTTGGTTAAAGCCCTGGCCTGAAGTTCCAGCATTTCATATGGGTGCTGGTTCAAGTCCTGGCAGCTCCTCTTCTGATCCAGCTGTCTGCTGTGGCCTGGGAAAGCAGTGATAGATTGCCTAGGTCCTTGGGCCCCTGCACCTATGTGGGAGACCTGGAAAAACTCCTGGCTCCTAGCTTCAGATTAGTGCAGCTCCGGCTATTGGCGGCCATCTGGGGAGTGAACCAGTGGATGACTTCTCTCTCTGTCTCTACCTCCCTTTGTAACTCTTTCAAATGAAAAAAATAAATCTCAAAAAAAAAATAAATAAATAAAAAACAAAGAATCCCCAATGACTTCAGGACAACTGAGGAGGCAGGGGTTGGTCTTTTGCAGTAACAGTAGACTCTGGTACTTCTCATTCTGATTTAAGCACACTGGGCTAGAGAACAGCCGGCAGGTATCAAATGTCCTGATTCTTAGATATGTATGTGACTAATATCATCCAGTTACTGCTACAACTCCATATGCTATAGGAGAGACTTTTTAACAGAAGGCAGATCAGAAGAGTCTTTGAGGTCCAGTGGTCAAAAGCACTACCCTATGAGAGGCAGAAGAGACTCAAGGATTCCATTAATGTGTTGCTCCTTTGCATGATCTTATCTCTATCTTGGCCCATTCATAACACTGACATGAATATTAAGCTCAGATGAAGAAAACTTCTGCTTTTGTATTTTTTTTGGAGACTGTCAAACTTATTTTTCTAAAATAGGAAAAAGGTGTATAAAAACAAGTATTTTAAATTGAATTAAACCACCTAATTTCTACATAAGAGAGAAGAAATAAAAGAAGGGGACAGAGGAGGGAGGTAGTCTTGAGCCAAAAGAAGCAGAGTACAGAGAGGCAAATGGAAGTGGGATTTTGAGATCATGGGAACATTTAAGTGAGCAGCTGATAATTCAGGGATGAACTTTGGTCACAGCTGCCTTGGGAGAAGGTGCCATTTAAGTTCTACTATTCTCTATCTTCAAACATTAAAACAGGGATTCTTGGGGCCAGCGTTGTGGCACAGCAAGCTAGGCCACTGCTTGTGATGCTGATATCCTACGTGAGAGCCAGTTCCATTGGTTGCTCCACTTCTGATCCAGGCCCCTGCTAATGTGCCTGGGAAATCAGAGAATAATGGTCTAAGTACGTAGGCCCCTGCCACTCACAATGGGAGACCTGGATGGAGTTTCTGGCTCCTGGCTTTGGTCTGGTCCAGCTCCGACTGTTGTGGCCATTTGGGGAGTGAACCAGTGGATGGAAAATCTCAGTCTCTCTTCTCTGTCACTCTTTCAAATAAATTAACAATAAATCTTAAAAAAAAAAAGTGGGGTGTCTTATTCTGTGATCCCTGAACTTCCCCAAACTATATATATTAAGTTGAACCACATGAAACTGCTTATAGTCAAACTTTTTGAATTTTAAAAAGAGCATTTTAATATATACACATGCATTTTTCTTCATAGAAGTTCTTGGATTTCACTAGATTGTCAAAGTAACTGCCCCCCCCAGAAAAGTCTTATTTAATTAAGACAATTTAAAGAATTTATTTGAATGAGAGAGAGAGAGAGAGAGAGATCAACCTTCCATGTATTTGTTCACTACCCAAATGCCTGCAACAGCCAGGCTTGGGCCAGGCTGAAGCCAGGAGTCTTGAACTCAATCTATGTCTTCCATGTGGGTGGTAGGGACCCAACTACATGAGGTATATCACCTACTGCCTCCCAGGGTATGCATTAGCAGGAAGCTGGAATCAGAAGTAAGGCTGATATTCAAATCCAGGCACTTTGGTATTGGATGTAGCCATTCCAAGTGGACTCTTAACTGCTCTGTCAAATTCCCACCCCACAAGAAATGTTTTAATACTCAATTCTGAAAGGACTTGAGGAATATTAGACATACAACAATATTTAGTAGAGATGGGATGAAGGAAAATTTTTGAGTCTCAGATATTACGCCAACCCTCTAGCCCCCATCAATCAGTATTTTACCTTTTTTTGGTGATTATTCTCTCTCTCTCTCTCTTTTTAAAGATTTACTTATTTTATTTGAAAGAGAGTTACAGAGAGGCAGAGAGAGAAGTCTTCCATCCACTGGTTCACTGCCAAATGGCCGTGACGGCCAGAGCTGGTCTGATCTGAGGCCAGGAGTCAGGAGCTTCTTACAGGTCTCTTACACAGGTGCAGGGGCACAAGGACTTAGGGTATCTCCTGCTGCTTCTCCAGGCCATAGCAGAGAGCAGGATTGGAAGTGGAGCAGCCGGGACTCGAACCAGTGCCCATATGGGATGCCAGCACTGCACGCAGCAGCCTTACCTGCTACGCCTCAGCGCCAGGCCACATGTTTTATATTTTTGTATTCATAATGAGAACAGCAAAGTGAAAGTGAAATTTCTACTTATTAGATGCAAATAATCAGCTTTGAGTAACATTTACCTGACCATGTCTAATGTTTTCCCATTAAAAAACAACTGAAAACAGGTAATGAACACTATTTTTTTAAAATAAAGGTGGCTATGCATATCCCCTAAAAATTCCCTATATAAGAAAACTACAGAAAACAGGTCTTCAAAAGGTTCATAGAAAATGTGTATTATGAAAAAGCTATGCATGGATTTGAACATGTTTAGCACCAAAATAAACTTGTAATTCCATTGCTTCATAAACTTCTGGCAGTACCCTTGTTCTTCCTACATAGATGAACACTCCCAAATGACTGAACTCTCTGTGGTGCGAAACCCCAAGGCCCTGAGAAAGCACCTTTCCACTAGTGGACCCGTACCTACTGGCGTTCTTATAAGAGAAGACGTCCCCAAAGTTTCAGTAGAGTTTTTCCAGAGGAGATGGTGGGACTGTGTGTTCACCTTAAAGCCCAGGAAGACTCTGCTTTCTCAAAGAAGCAAGCCTTCTAAGAGGAGCCGAACACCCTAGCAGGAAGCCCTGGTCCTCACGCTATCAAAACCCCAATCTGATGGACCTAAGCAGGTCGAAAAGCAAAACAAAACCTACATCCCCTCTCCCGGATCGACGGCTTGCCCAACGTTCCCCTGCTGTGCGCTTCCAGAACTCCTGCCCGCACTAGTTTGCCATCCCAGCTGCCTGACCGCTCCTTCCTGGTGTGCACTGCTCATCCCTTGCCAAATCAGCTACGTCCACCTGTTCAGGCTGATGCCTCTGACGTCCCATACAAAGCCGTCCCTTCTCCTCTCCTGCCCCTCTTTTTGGACAGGGAATGCCTCTGCTGTCCTTTCCCCTCTCCATTAACTGCCCAGAGCTCGCTCTTCTTTCCCCTCCTTTCCCACTGAGTGGCTCAGTTCTCGGCCTAAGGCAGCTACATCAGGCAGTCGCTACTAGGAACCAAAGTCCCCATCTCCGGACCCAACTTTTTAACGGCCAGGTTTGTGTCTTCATCTTCGAGCCCTCGCCGCCCGATGTCCAGCAAAACCCACTGCAAATCACTTGTTTCAGTGCTCACTTAAAGGTCTCTCCGAACAAAGACCTGGCACCCGGAGAACTCCAGGAGAGAAGGGAAAAAGAACTTGGATACAAAGTAACAAAACCATCCGCGATGACAATGAATCCGAAACTGCACACTGCTAACATCAGTGTTTCCAAACAAGTCTCCCGAAAGAACAATGACTTAGTCTTGCTCACTGCACTCGTGCAGCTCCAGCGCCCAAGCGGTGCCCGGCACCCAGCACGCACCTAACAGACCGCAGCAGGTTAAATCAGCGCAAGGGCAGGCGAATGAATGAACACGCCGCGCGCGCTCTGCACCGTGCGTGGCACAGAGCTGCAGCCCAGAGGGCGCGGCTGCAGAAGGAACTGGGCGAGGGGCGCTCTCCCGGGCCCCGGCACTGGCCAAGTCCAGGCGCCGCCGGCCCGCCGACGGAGGCGGGACGCTGTCCAAGACGGCGGCCCTCGGGGTCCTCCCGCTCCCCACAGCCTCCCAGCCCCCGCGCGCGCCCCGAACCTTGGTGTCCACGTCGGCCAGGCAGTCCCTGCGGAACTGGTCGAAGAGACCCTGGCTCTTGAGGTGATTAACGATCATCGCCACGAGCTGAGGGTCTCCGGCTCCGGCACTCGCGCCACCCGCCCCGCCCGTGCCGGGGCCAGTCCCCGGGCCCGGCGGCGGCGGCGGCGGCTGCGGCTGAGGCGGGGGAGGCGGCGGCGCCGGCGGCGGCGGCTGGGGCTGCGGGTTGGTAGCCATAGCGGCCTGGGCCGGGGAACGCGAGGGCCCGAGCAGGCGGGAGCTCCGGGGAGGCGGCGGCGGCGGCTGCCCTAGTCCCGCCGCCTGAAGGAAGCCAACTGGATGTTGTTATGGAACCAGCGGATCCAGACCAACCCCGGAAGTGAAAGGGAACCGGGGGAAGGGAGGAAAAGGCGGTGACACTAGCAGCGAGAGTCCGCGGACGGGGGCCGCGAGGGGCCAAATGCTGCCGCCGCCGGGTGCGGGCGCCCTCTTTAGGCCGGGCAGCGCCGGAAGCGGCGGCTTCGGGAAGGCCGAGGGGCCGCCGGCTGCCGGGTCCGGACCAGGAAGGGACCCCGGCTCGGACTCCGAGGCGGTGTGTGGCATGGGAAGGTGTTCGACCAGACACCCAGGGGCCCGCGAGGCGCGGCGTGCAGGCCTGAAGCTCTAGAGACCGGTAGACATTCACTGTGCGAAGCGTGCGTGGAAGTACTTAACTCTTCCAACCCAGTACCCTTCCCAAAGGGTAGCCCTGGGATTCCCATCCCCCGTACGCTGGCTTTCCCCTTAGCGTCGCGGGTGAGGATCCGGGTGTGCCTGTGACTAGACCCGGATTCCTCCAACCCCTTTTGCCGAAGACAAATACACAGGGTTTTAGTGTCGAGGGCGGCGGTGTTGGTTACCATGGTAACGACAGGTGCCAGGTGTGGCGTTCTTGTCCGTGGAAAAACATTAGGTCTGACTCCAGTTTCAATTCAGGGAACTGAGACAGAAAGATTTAAGTTGCCTGATTTTTAAAGGCCAATCAAGGCAGTGTAACTGTTAACAAATTTTCAAAAATTTTTAAATGAAATGCAGATTTTTATTGGAAAATGCAATCAATCAGTGAAATGGGTTGCTGCTTTTAAATTCATAAATAAAGATGAAATGTCTTCGAAGAATTAAACACCGATTCTGTTCCTTGGTCTAATTTTCATAGATGCATGCTTTGAGAAACCTTGTTCATACGTCCTGTACTGCACCTGGCAATGGTGAGGTTTTTCGTTGAATTCATGATCTCAAAAAATTTTGATGATCTATGACTTTACTGTTCTTTTTAGGGTGGGAAACCTTTTTTCTGCAAGGGCCGTTTGGATATTTATAATATTCGCAAATCAGACAAAATTACCAACTTAAACATAAGCCTGCTAGATGGACACTATGGACTTTGTAGTCCCTCTTGTGGTGTCGTGGGCCTTATTCATCTCCAGGACCAGATGTTCCCTGCCCCATACTGTTAGTTCTCCAATTTTATTCACAGGAGAGAATTGAAAACCACCTGGGTTGCCAAAGGATTTGTTTACCTAGTTGTTTTTTTTCTTTCATTGTTTTCAGTTTCTGAGAAATGTACAAAATAGGCTTTCGTTTTGGTTAAGAAAGATGCTTTTTGTTATTGGGTGGTTAAATTATGTTTTTGTTAATACTTTGTGGCTGCAGATTTAGTTTATTTATGGTGAAGATGTCAAATATGGAAAAATCTTTATCGTATAGCTTAATAAATTTCCTTTTAAATTGGCCATACCATGCTTTCTTTCCACCAGTTTGCCTTCATCGTTTTAATTGAAATTAAGTGTCATGTGTTTTGAGGATAATGAAGTTTGCAGAGAAAAAGTCATAGATGAATTGTAAAAGACATTACTAAAAGCAGTCAAGAATAAAATCATGTAAAATATAGCTGTTTTATGCATTTTCTATCAAAATTATTTTTGACAACAAGATTCCAACATGTTTCCTTTTACTTAATTACCAAAAATGCACTACAGTGTGTTGCTATATTTATGTTAAGTGTATGAGAAAAGGCATAGCATTTATTCTTTATATATGGATGTATTTATCAAATTTTTATTCAGTTTTTTTGGTAGTAAATAAGAATCATCTATATGATTCTTATACATAACCGCAAATTTAATTGAACAGTGATCAAATTTTTAAAAATTAATGAGGCAATGTGGTGTTTGCTGCTGAAAAGAATTTGTTCAGTGGCTAATAATTTTTGTGAAAAGTATATAGACATTTTAAAATATTTTCTAAAATGTAGTAAGGGTATATACTTTAAATGTACAATTTGTTTTCTGAAATGTATCACTCTTACTGAATAACACAACAGTGAATCTAAAAGAAAGGGCATGATATGTATCCATCAGCTCAAGTTACATTAGTTACACACATTATGCTGGATACAATGTAACTTGAATTTTGTAGCCTTCAAGAACAATGAAGATACATTGAAAAGAATCCAGGTCACTGATGTGTGCTGCTTTAGCTGTTCAAAGGAGCTTTGTTTCCATTGGAAGACAAGTCCTAGGGATGATTGCTGCAAATACCTAGGGAGAAAAAACCCAGACATTTATAAAAGCTATTTTAAGCAATGCAAATTTCTTTGCTTTATTCTCTCCTCCTGATTTTCTCTCTAGAGAGTAATACTATTTTTGACAATGGTTAGGACATAGAAGAGGTGAGGTCTTTCCCCCCAAATTGTCACTACCCCTTACCCCGCTGTATGTATGTCTGAATTCAGGACATGCCATGAAGGTCAACTGCTTTCTCCTTGAACGTGATTGAGTCTCATCTTGCTCACCAAGTCTACGGTAAGATGATGGTTAGAGAAACTTTACTCTTCGGGAGTGAGGAGAGCAATGATGGGTTAGTGTGTGGCATTCATTCCTGGTAGCCTTTGGTATCCCTGGGCATCAGATTCCTGCCAGTGGTTGGATTCTGGGATTTCCTCTCTTTCCCACAGTCCAGCCTGGGCAGTCCTCCAAACCCTGCTTCTTGGTGTTTATACAGTGAAAAGTCAGACCCCAGTGACCTTAGCCTGGGGAGGCCATCTAATTATTGGGTAGTTGTTTGCATCCTTTGCTTTGTATCCCCATAGCATCCTCCACCTGCATAGGTTTTTCATAAGCAAAAGGCTGATGCCTGTCATTTCTTAAATAATTATCAACATAAAAAGAGTCCAGTAGAATCTTTGAAAGTCTTTTTCTTCTTTCTTTTCTTTTCTTTTTTTCCCAGTGATAACAGAGAGAGCTGAAAGCATCACTAGTGTTTTCCATAAGAAGAGAGGGAGAGGACATTATGTGCTATTTGCCTTATCAAAGCAAACTTCATTGTTGCAACTATTTTTCTATTTCTGTTGTGATGTAAAACAACCTATGAAGATAAAAATGGTGATTGGGAAAATTACACAATGTTAATATGAGAAGCAGGACTGATTTTTCTCCTGCAAGAACTTCAAAGAATTGCCACTTTCTCTGGGGTCAGGACAAAGAAGTGTAGGGGATGGTAAAATGAGGGAGAAAGGCAATTGGGGACATTCGTCTGTGAGTGCCTGAGAGTAGGGGTATATTGAAAGTGGCGCTTAGTTTGTTAAACTAAGGAGATGCGGAATTCAAAAAGGGGACTTAGTCTTAGCTGTTGAGAGGAAGGAAGATGAGTTTGGAAGCCTGTATTTGAGAATATCTGCCTTTCACCGGATAACAAATTGCTTTTCTGATCAATAGAGATAATACCTAATTTTCAAGTTTTTGGGAGGAATATGCCAGGTCATGTAAATTATAATTATTTATAATGTGTTGCCTAGATGAAATCAATTAAGAATTGGGGGGGAGGGGCCGGCACCATGGCTCACTTGGTTAATCTTCTGCCTGCAGCGCCAGCATCCCATATGGGCCCCAGGTTCTAGTCTTGGTTCCTCCTCTTCCAGTCCAGCTCTCTGCTGTGGCCTGGGAGGGCAGTGGAGGATGGCCCAAGTGCTTAGGCCCCTGCACCCGCATGGGAGACCAGGAGGAAGCACCTGGCTCCTGGCTTTGGATTGGTGTGGCTTCGGATCGGTGTAGCTCTGGCCATGGTGGCCATTTTGGGGGTGAACCAATGGGAGGAAGACCTTTCTCTGTCTCTCTCTCTCTCACTATCTAACTGTATCTGCCAAATTAAAAAAAAAAAAAGAATGGGGGGGGCACAGTCATTTGACACAGTGGTCAAGACACTGCTTAGGACATCCACATCCCGTGCTAGAGTGCATGTGTTTGTCCTGGTTCTGCTTCCTGGTTCCAGCTTCCTGCTGATGCACACCATGGGAAGCAGCAGGTGATGGCTCAAATAGTTGGGTTCCTGCCACCCACATGGGACATGTGGATTGAATTCTGGGCTCCTGGCTTTAGCCTGGTCCAGTCTTGGCTGTGGCAAGCATATGAGGATTGAACCACTGGATGGAACATCTTTCGCTGCCTGTCTGTCCATTGCTTGCTCTCTCTCTCTGCCTTCAAATAAATGAAAATAAGTAAAAATTAAAAAAAAATTAAAATGAAAAAGAATGAAAAAAATCAAAAAGAATGAGTGGAATTTGGACAAGGAGGGAAAAGCAGCTTTCTATGGTAAGGGAAGAACAGAATTCAGTAAAAGGGTCAGAGTTTGCATTTGTTACAGTTTCTAGTCATGCTGTGAAGGAGAATATAATCAGGATTTCTCGTGTGTGTTATGTATGTACAGTGTGTTTAATAAATGATCATTTAATGTATTTTATTTCTGTTAGCAATATTTTGTGATATATCCTATTAATTAATTTTAAATTGTTCATTAATACTCTTGCAGAATTGCTACTTTGCACAGAAATTGTCCCTCGGTTTGGCAGAGGTGACTGATATGCTGAGATTGTGTTCCAAATACGAATTTTTTCTTCAGTGTTTGCAGAACCCTGATGGCCATTTATAATTCCCTTAAGAGATTGTGTCTTATAATATTTGTATTCTATGCTCTTAGTTTGAGTTTTTTTTTTTTTTTAATATGAGGATATTCCTTTCATGCAAGTAACCTTACATTTTTTGTATGTCTTGGCTGTCAAGATTTGCACTCTCAATAGTGACAGCTATCAGATATACCAAAATAAGATTTATTAGGAGGTTAGGTAACCAGTGTTTGTGTTACTGAGCTCTGGCTATTTTGGAAATTGGGATGGCAGTATTACAGATGGCACGAAATAAAATATGTGCCCTTATATGCATATAAAAGATGGCAATAAACTGTATAGAGAAGAGTTGGTTTTAAAGAAAATTGTTTTTATTTTATTTTCAAAAATTTTTAAAGATTTGTTTATTTGAAGGTCACAGTTATAATGG